CTATTCTTATTCTTATTTCCCAAATTGCTTTTCCTCGGTAGGGTCACGAGTGTGCCGGAGCTTCCAAATTCAAATTATCCATCTGTGTGAATGTGAGTGTGACTGGTTGTTTGTTTATATGGAACAGGGACTTGCCATTCACTGGTGAAAAGTCAGCCCAAATTCAACTCGGATAGTCCCCAGCTCACCCAAATGAGGACATGTACTCTAGAAAATGAATTCATAATTAATCTTTCACTTTTCTCAACAGTGAGGCATTACCGTTCTCGCGATGTTCTACAAACTAGACGTTCCGATAAAGTTGAGCATCTTGAGTTCCTGGCAGTGAGCGCAGGCCAGCCTCTGTGTCCTACAAACACACACAAATCATTTACACGCTGTACTCATCAAAGGCAACTTTTCCCTCGTCCCCACTGAGGCCTGACGAAGAGCTTCCAAGTCGACGTCCCCCAGCGCTTTTCTATGAACTTCCACCGGTGTCAAAGATGCGATGCATTTTTTTTTTTTTTTTTTTAAACAGCTGTTGACCTATTATCGCAATGCCACCAGAGACCCCCAGTGCTCCCTCATTTCTGTAGAAGGCTGTGCGTTAGATGCATCAGTGTTTACAAGGCGCGCTTGAGGGGAAACAGAATGCTCCCGTTAAACGAGGCAATCGGGCTAATGTCGCTGCGGGCCTGGCGCGCAAAAAATAAATAAATAAATAAAATTGTCAGTCAAATGGCGCCATTCTTTGATTTGGCGACACAACGCGAAACAATGATTACCCCGCAGTGTTAAACTCCTCCTGTGTCTCGCTGCCATCATAAATAAAATATGCCCGAGATAATGGATTTACACTCAATAATTCATCACTCAGTGATATAGTGTGTGTCGCCGGGTTCTGTAACACAGCGCTTAGCCAAATTAAGTTATCATGAAACAGATTTATTGACAGCTCGTTGCAGAGTTCATTTACTCAGCAGCCATTGCTTAATTACTCCCGCGAATGCAGAAACAAACAATGCCGACAGAAGGATTTCTAAACTACTCAGTGTCAGGAGACTCTAGAAAGCATTGCATTTTTCTGCCTTTTTTTTTTCTACGTCTCCGTTTTGTATCATTGCCATCGACAAGGATTGAAGGATGAAGTTGACCCGGAATTTTTTGTATTTACATCTGACAGTTTGACACCAATTCTTCATCTTATTGTTCTAGTCAAACTGCACTGATACTAAAGTCAATACCGAAGCGGCACGGCAGCCTCTGTTATATATAAATGACACCAACACTTAATTTGGGGACAAAGTCAACCCGGCAAGAAAAGTGCGCAACATAAGTGGTACTGACATGGCAACGGGGCGAAGAACCTAGTAGTGATCTTCCTTTTTTTTTTTTTTTTTTTTTAAACATCATTATTCTGTATAAACGGCACTGAAATTGAATGTGGGCATGAAGTTGGACGAGCAATTTTATGCATTTGGAAAATGCAACAACAACAAAAAAAACATGGGAGTTGATGTTTCGTGTTCTGAATGATTTGTACGCTGTGTAAGAACAAAGTCAACCCCGAAATGTTCAAACATTTTTCAATGTCAGTTAATGAGATTGACATAGAATGGGGAGGGGGGAGTTAACTTGCTAATTTTCTCCCTTTTTTCCACTGTTCTGCATAACAACAGTGACGTGGATCGAGGAAACGAACTGTACACCGCACGCTCTTTTTTCTTTCTGTATTGTGTCGAGGAGACCCCAGACAGATGCAACCTGAAATAAGAGTAAAAAGTTCACCGGACAATTTTTACAAATTTTCCATGACACCGTTCTGTATTAACCGCACCAATTGGGTGACCTATGATGGAGTGACAAAGCAAATTTTTTTTTTGGTGGCCATCCTGGTTCTTTTTAAACATGGACCAGGTCTGTTTAGAAACTGCAGAACGAGCGCCCCCGAAACTGAATGTGGAGAGGCGTCCTGTCCTTTCCAGTGAGTGTATGATGACTCGTTCAGGGTCATCCGTCACATCAACAACTCAGGTCATTAATAAAAAGGAAGGGGTGGCTTCTTCCAGGAATACCAGCGGGGTGGCCACAAATGGGACATTCTGGAAGTAATGTCGGGTCAAGTCATTGGGCTCCAGCTGGCTCGGTATCTTCAGGGCCGCCTGTTTGACACCCGTCCAGCTGAACAGACCTCAGGCCTGCATGTCAGATCCCCACCCCGCTACCCTTGTCCCTGGCTCACTCCAGCCCTTTGGCTTCAGCGAAGACTGGGACGGATTCTGTGATGGGGCCATCAAACCGGTGCTGATCAGTCCATATGGCAGATTAACAAATATGGTGAAAATGCCCCGCAAAATATATGCACGTGGTTAAGAATTAACCAAGGGTGGGCAAATGGGCAAACATTTGACTATGACTGTGAAAATTGTACATTTAAAATTTAAATAACAAAATAACTTCCAATGTTTTCATTGCATGATTTACACTAAATTTACTCAAAACATGATAGCACTATTTCGCTTAGGTTTTATTTCTTTATAAATCAAGTATCCATGTATTTACAGTAATCCACATCTTCTCAGATCCCAATACACGTATTTGCATTTTTGTTACGCTGAATTTATCGCCAAATATTTCCTGAAAAATGTCCCTACTTACGTTGTTGTGCTCTTTCTAAAACAGCATAAGATGGTGTGAAAGCCATGTCTAAATAGGTAGATACTACAGTTTTAAAGTGATACATTTGAAATGAGTTGCAAGCTTAGAATGTTGGGAAGCAACATATTACCTCTGAAGGCAGAAAATTGACAGGTCGACCTCATTCAGTGTCGGTTTGTCGCAATTATACAGAACAGCGGCATGACATAATGACTACCTGGGACCGGATACTAAATTTAGTGTTCAGTACAGATCAGCTTCCACTTGAGTCTGCCATCTGAACAGCAAAGAAACTGAATTTCAATTCAATCTCAACACAAAAACAACAACAGTTAATCAAAGCACAGAGATTGTGGGTTCCAACCTGAAGAAAACAATTTACATGTAAATCAAAACCGTACCATCTCCCTTTTGTCCGCGGAATTGCACTCATGTGCACAGAGGCGTTCAGTTACAGTTAGGCCCAACTTCTCTCACAGTTTTTATTGGAAGAGGCGGGCGGAGCCATGTCCATTTAACAGATAGCCATTCTGACATTCCAGGCTCTGCTTGGTATCACGTGTCACTTAAGAGAAGACGGCACACATGGAATAAGAGACAGTCTGGATGTTGTCCGTTCAACAAACTCACTCCAAATTCACTCCGCAAAATTAACTGCATGTAGCATGGCTATTGGCTGAAGGGTGAATTGATTTGTGTGATAGACCATCAAATCCTGTTTGAGAATCATCTGTCTGTCAAAAGTGCTTCATTTCGATCTGTGAGAGAATCCGAACGTGCTGTGGTGTGTTGGCAGTAATTTGCCAGAGCGGAAACAAAGGGATGTCAAATGGAGGTGGCCTTCATTAGAATCCTGTGCCAGGGATCACGACTTCAGTGGCAGAGCCACACTCCAGGGGCCTGGATATGGAGGTGCAAGGTAGATTTTGACCACCAGAGGCCAGTGAAGTCACGTTTCAAATTGCTTCACAATAAATCTTGATCTGCAAAACATATTTTTGCATTTCTGCCATGACAAACACCGCCATTACTTTAAATAATTTAATATGATAGAATTTAATTTTTCATTCATGGTGAATCTCATAACATGTGGCACTGATTCCAAATTGCGCTGGTCGATGCATTGCAGAAATGTCACCGAACTGTATTTGCTTAAGAAACATTAACATCAGTCAGTACACGACCAATTAAAAATTTTCGGCACACATTCTTCAGCCATTAAATGCATAACGGTGTCCACACTTCTGACTTGACGTATAGATACTACATTGATTTACTGTAACAGTTAAGAAATGCACGTATTTTCATTAAATGTCAAAAACAGAGATTGTACTATGAACTGATTATTTTAGAAAAGGGAAAGTTAATTGTGTTGATTACCACAGTGAGCTTAACATAAAGTAATGGGAAAAATATACATTTTTGCACGATGGTACGGCAACAGTATATGACTACCTGTACTCCTACGACTACTACGAGAAGAAGAAGAAGAAAAAGAAATTACATTCATTAAATATCGATTTTATTCCCGGTATTTTGCTTGTCATTTCAGGATTCGTTTTTAATTTCTCCGCCACCAGGTGTCCCTCTTTGAACACTAAAACGTAGTTACTCCTTTACGCCGTCAGGTGTCAGTGTTGCTTAAAAAACGTCTGGCGCTGAACTGGGGTTCGTATGGAGCATCAACTCAACTTTTCATGCAATTGAATTACGTGACGTTAAAGGTGTATATACAGTACATGATTCTAATGGACGGTTTGATAAAGATTAAAATCAATATTTTGACTCACGTCATTGTCAGGACTGTAACAAAATATTTATTTCTAAAAAGGACATTAAATACACAAAAGTATGTGAGATAGTCATAATGACATTTTTGTGTTGATGCTTTATTGCTATATTTTTTTATGAATACTATTAATGGCGTTACTTGCACTTTTCCTTTGAGAAGAGCTCACAATCATAATGGAAAGAACAAACAAATGTGCCTTGTTTTGCAACTACAAATTAACAAAATCAATTTATGCAATACAATGTAATGTTATGTGGTTCAATCATTGTAACAAGAGCCTAGTGTCACAACCAGTTTGTTACTAGCTTCAGAATAGTACGCAATCATATTGTAATGAATATATTATTGACATTTTACCGTAATTACAATTACAATTATAATTATAATGAATTAATACTTGTGCAAACAAAACAAAAGCAATTCAACAATTTTAAATGAGAAGTATTCGAAGACTGGATAAATGCTCCATGGGCAGGATTAAAGAATGCAAAGGGCCATATGTGGCCCTCGGGGCATACTTTGTCCACCCCTGCAATCATCACGACTCCCACTTTCAGCTCTGCTTTTTTCACGGCTCCAAGGCTGCGCACAAAGGAGGAAGAAAAAAAAGTGCCTGTGTAAGCAAAAAATGAGAAAGTTGTGAGAGCTTGGGGTGAAAGGAAAAAGAAAGAAGGGGAAAAAACTGCAGACGAGCAGAAGCAACACACACAGGAGGACCTTTGAGAAACTTTGAGCAAGTTTTGAAGACATCCGCGGGCTTTCAAAATGGGTTTAGTGTCCATTTTTGTGAGTGTGTTTTTGCTCCATTTCAGCCACTTTAAATCAACATCAGCTGCCCCTTCTCCTATCATCAAGTTTCCCGGCGATGACACTCCCAGGACAGACAAAGAAGTTGCACTGGTAAGCTTTATTTTTGCAATACAAATCTCACTTTATTTTCACAAATTTCAATCCATTTTCCACCCATTTCCCCCACTTTTTGTAGCGCTACCTGAACACGTTCTATGGGTGCCCGCAAGACAGATGCAACCTGATGGTGCTCAAGGACACCTTGAAGAAAATGCAAAAGTTCTTCTCCCTGCAAGAGACGGGCGAGATTGATGCCAAGACTGTGGAGATCATGAAGAAGCCCCGCTGTGGTGTGCCAGATGTGGCCAACTACAACTTCTTCCATAGAAAACCTTTGTGGCAGAAGAAAGACATCACCTATAGGTAAGACCGTGGACTTTTTTTCATTTAATAACATCTTTAAATGTTGAAATGTAGAATGTAAAACTTTTCAAATGGATTCCTAACATAATAAAAATGGCTAAAATTGGGGGTATGGGGTGGTGGGGGAATATGTGGTTCAGTTAATGGATGAATGGAAAAAAACGCGAACATGTTAACAGTTTGTATGCCAACATATCACAACAGTCAGGGCAAATGAAGTGACAAGACAGATTGATAAATTCTCATCTTGTCCTATATTGAAGATCTATTTCAAAGGCGCCCACAAATAAAATGTATTATTATTATGATTATTATAAAGAGAATTGATGAAATGCTGACATGCTAAGAGTTTGTATGCTCAGATACAGATATTGTAAAACACACGACAATAATGATGAAACTGTAGTCAAATATCATTTAAAAATGCAATTGATAAAATGTTAACAGTTGGTATGCTAACGTACTGTAAGGCAAAATGGCAACCTGAGTGACAAAAGTGCTTCTTCTTTACTATTTATAATAATAAATGATAAATGCTAACATACTAGCCGTTGATGCAAACACACAGAAGGATGGTGAGTACAAACATCCAAAACCACGCTGGCATGTCAGCAGCCCCTGAAGAGGTTCTTTAACACAAAATTTGTCTGTTCTAGAATCTGTTCACATTTTCAAGCAGACTTCAAGCTGGCCCTTTTTGAACCCCACCAAAACCCACACCTCCCAACTCCCACTTCAACAGCCCCTCCCTCAACATTCCCAACCAACACCCCCCCCCCCTACCAACACCACCACCATCACCCACTGGGCCATGACACTGTTTTTCTTCCTAAAAACAGCATTCTCATGCAGTGCTGTCAGATGTTGTGTTCAGAAGTTTACAAAAATGTTCAATGGTCAGTTGTTTTATCCAGATGAGTGCTTTTATGTCCCAGATCATCTGCTGTCTGCTGCATTTTTTGCCACATGATTCAGAGCCATGTTGTTGGTCAGCACCGCACTCCACCCTGCAGCCAAATTCTTATACAATCCCTGTTGCTTTGAGGCCGTCGTTGTTTCTTCTTGAAATGACTTCACACTCTCCCCACAGAATCCTCGGCTACTCTCCGGATCTGGATGAGGAAGTTATCAATGATGCTTTCTTCAGAGCCTTCAAAGTGTGGAGTGATGTCACGCCGCTCTCATTCAATCGCCTCATGGACGGCGAGGCTGACATTATGATCAATTTTGGCCGTAACGGTACGTCAATGTGATACGCAGTCCAGTGTTTTCCTGGCTCCAATTGACGCCATCCCCTGAATTTACCAAAAAATAAATGCTTCCAGTCTTAATAGATGCAATACCCCCAATTAATCGAATACTGCACCTTGAACTTATTTAAATCATTGCCTCTGCTCCAGATCATAAATTGTTTGACAAAATGTTTGGAAAAACTATAATCTCCAGCTCCGCTCCCTCTCTTGAAAAAAATTAATGCCTCCAGTCGTAATAGACACAATCTCAGCAATACTGTAAATATGAGTACCTCCGCTTTAAGAGCCACTGGCTCCCAAATAATTATCAGGTGTATGAGTGAATACACTGTATGCCACACCTCAAATAGATCCTTTGTCAGCTTCAGGGAAACAAATAATAGGGCGCCACGACCTCAGTTAGTTTTACCCTGACTGATAACAACCACGTTTGTAAAAATAAGCGCCTTACCTCAATAAACAAGTGGCCCTCGCTTTAATAGATATTGTGGCTCAATTAATTAATCATCCACTGAAATAAATGACAGCAGCGCCCCAAAAAGCTGCCGGCAGTGTTGTTTTATGAACTGTGTCATCAACAGAGCACGGCGATGGTTACCCATTTGATGGCAAAGATGGCCTCTTGGCTCACGCCTTTGCCCCCGGTCCAGGAATAGGCGGCGACTCACACTTTGACGACGACGAGCAGTGGACACTGGGAGAGGGCCAAGGTAAAACCTCGCCAAAGTGCTGCATCTCATTTTCAGCAAAGTACCACTGACATGCACATAACCACAGCATCCCATTCAACGTCCACAAATGTAATTGTACAAAGTATGACCTTTCTGGCTCTGCTGCATGCATAAATCCTTCACCAATCTGGTAGGTGAACAGAAGACAAAAATCCCCTTTTTTGCAAGAGTCGACCAAGATGAGTTTCAGACGGTTGAAATCTATTGGTTCTCTTTTTCAACAGTGGTGAAGGTGAAATTCGGCAACGCGGATGGAGAGTTCTGCAAATTCCCCTTCCTGTTCCAGGGTACCGAGTACAACAGCTGCACATCCCAGGGCCGCGACGACGGCTTCTTGTGGTGCTCCACCAGTTACAACTTTGATGACGATGGCAAATACGGCTTCTGTCCTCATGAATGTAAGTCATGGCCTTGCTTGGCATGAGAGAACAAATCATATTGAATTAACTTTATTGCGTTGTACTGACAGAAAGTAGGCTGGGGGGCTTTGCCAGGAAAGCACATTTTTTCTCTTGGTTTTGAGGGGGGAAAATTGTGGATTTCTTTCCAAAGGTTTTGCCCTACTTTAGGAAATTGGTCTTTGTTAAACGTCTTGTTTATCTGCTTTGCTCGTTTGACTATGCCTGTCACAGCTTCAGTACATGCCGAATTGGTTTGAAAGGATGTCAACTTGAGGGGTGCAATTGGTTCTGGAGCTTTCTGATATTTTTTGGGCTTGGCTTCCCTTTGGACTTTTGCTTTTTCATCGAAAATAGGTACATACATTGTGAATTTGAATATTTTGTTATGTCCGAAACATCAATCACATTCTTTTTCCCAGTGGAACCGTGATATTTTCAAGCAGATCGGACGATGAAATCGCTTTAAATACACCCACATCACAGAACAATCCTTCAGGATAATCTTTCAGAGATGTCTGAGAATTGGGCCATTGCTGATTTTGATCGCAAAGGGAGGAAAAATGCTCAAATTTGGGCCGATTGTCGAGTCGTTTGTGCCCTGCTTAATGCATTGTTTCTCTCGACTTTTGCATTGCAGTGCTCTTCACCCTGGGTGGAAACGGCGATGGCGCCCCTTGTAAATTTCCCTTCACCTTCCAGGGTGAGAAGTATGACAGCTGCACCACCACGGGCAGAGATGACGGCTATCGCTGGTGTGCAACTACTGAGAATTATGACCAGGACAAAACCTACGGCTTCTGCCCTGAAACCGGTTAGTGGTGCCTTCTTCTTTTGGACTTTTTCTGGGCGTTTTTATTTTTTTACAGGACTGTGAAGCCTTGACCGCCCGGATGGGTGTTATCCTCTCCAGGGAAGTTTCATTTGGGTTTTTTCCGGTCTTGGTCATGGTCTGCCAAAGGCATGTGAAAGTATTTTAATGTGCTTATTTTCCACTCGGACAAGTCGGCCCGTTTTAAAGTTGTGGGAGAATCAAAGTAATAGAAATTGAATGCTCACTGGGGTTTCCGTGTGGTTTGCGCTTTTGCCTCATAGCGAGAAGCTCCTGGGTTGCAAACTTGTTTGGTCTATCTCAAAGTGCTCCACAAAATCATTTATAGTAGGTTCATTGAAGACTGTAAATTGTCACTAGGTGAAGACGTGTATCTATATGTCAGCTTTGGTTAGTATGTCTGCCTCACAGTTCTATAGATCCCGGTTTGAATCCCGGCTCTGGATCCTTCTCCGTATTTTTTTTTTTTTTTTTGTGTGTTCTCCTGCTAGTGTGGGTCATCTGCATTGGTTCTTCTGACTTCCTCTTACATTCTATAAACATGCATGTTACGTCAGTAAAGAACTATATATTGTCCATTGGTGTGAATGTGAATGTTAATTTTTGTTTGTCTATATGCAGTTGATAAGAGACCAGTCCAGGGTGTACTCTGCCTCTCATCCTAAGTCAGTTGTGAGAGGCTCCAATTCACCCTCAATCCTAATGAGGACAAGTGGCATAAAAATGAAGGAGGCAAAAGTGTCACCACACACTCGTTTAGGGTCTAATATCTGGGACTTATTCCTTTGCAGCTATGACAACCGTGGGAGGGAACAGTGAAGGCGGCCCCTGCGTCTTCCCCTTCACCTTCCTGGGAGACACTTACGACTCCTGCACCACGGCCGGACGCAGTGATGGCAAGAAGTGGTGCGGCACGACCAAAAGTTACGATGACGACCGCAAGTGGGGTTTCTGCCCAGACCAAGGTAGCGACCATCGAATGCATAATCTATCACTGCTAAGGAAATACTGTACTGCATGTTTCATCATGGATTGTTTTCAGGCTACAGTTTATTCCTGGTGGCTGCTCATGAGTTTGGCCATGCCCTTGGGTTGGAGCACTCCGATGACCCTGGCGCACTCATGGCCCCCATCTACACCTTCACCAAGGATTTCAGACTCTCTAGCGATGATATCAAGGGCATCCAGGAGCTCTACGGTAGGAGGGAATGATCATACCATCACAGATTTGGTTCAATTACAGTCCAGGGAATGACAATGTTCCCTCGTATTGACAGGCATTCCCACAGACAAGCCTCTACCTCCAACCGAGGGACCCGTGACCCCCATGGACATCTGTACGGAGCCCATTACTTTTGATGCTGTTGCCCAAATTAGAGGAGAGACGTTCTTCTTCAAGGACAGGTAAATGAAATCAAAGCTGTAACGTTGTTTTGGATCAATTAGATCTCAATAACAATTTTTATGCCAGAGGATTTCCTCCATTAAATGCTGCTAACGTTACAACGACGGATCTATTCATTCACGTAGAGTTGCCGCACACACTGCTCATCCTCATTCTGCTCCGTCTAATATCATCCCTGATATTTTGAATAGATACACAGCTATTTTGGGGATTTTAGATTGTTGTGTCTTGTGATTCATTTGCTTCTGTCCTCTTTGCTACCTTCACCCTTCCATGCACCCTGTAACCTGATAACATGATCAGCTGTCCACTGTAGTAACCACTGGCGCCTAAAGGGTTAACACTAATGCTAAGACTTTGTTTCCTTCGGTTTCCTGTTTTCCAGAAATTGAACCACTTTTTTTTTTTTTGGACGAAAAACAGTCGACAATACAAACAGCTATTAGGGGGTGTACATTGCTTGACACGCACTGGTGTGTAAGCAATTACTCATGCGGCAGTGAAATGCTGCGTTTGTGAGTCGGTCTTCTTGAAAATTGTGCAAGCGGTTGAGCATTTTGCTGACTACATTGTTTTTTTTTTTTTTGTTTTTTTTTTTTTTAATAGAATGTAAAAGTAAATACAAGCTTTGATGCTTACTCTCTGGAGGAGTGTATCCAAAGGAAATAGGATAACCTGACCAAGAAATGAAGTGTTTCTCCTGGACAAGCTAGAGTTTGAATCAAACCAGAATCCAACTCGCAAAGTACGCTTTTATTTCACTACATTTGGAAGGATCAAATTCGTTGTCGGCCTCAAAAACTTTGGCTCGTTGTTTGGAAATCAAGCTGTGCTGCAACATGATTCCCTGTGACTCATCATGCTTGAGGAGTCCAAGTGGATACTTAAGGTTTAACAGTCTGATAGCCAAACCATATTTTTGGTCTCAAGTTTACATAAGCCGTTTCTGCATTTGTCTCTCATACCCAGCGACAATGGCAGCCATTATACATATAAAGAGCTGATCTATTGCAGTCCCAACAAGTTTATTCTTCAAAGTGCAGTGAAATGACTTTTAGCCGGCCACTCAACCCGTGTGTTTACACATTCTCTGGTGTAACTCCTCTACTCGTTTTATGGTCATTCCTTGCTGTTATGGGGTAATTTGTGCTTGTTTCGTGCACAGTCCCTAAGGGTATTTGAAGCCATTTTTGGGTTTTATATTTAGGTTTTAAAGGACGGGAAAGCACCGAGTCGTACTACCATACTGAAAAAAAAAAATAAAAGTGATACTATTACGAAAAAAAAAAAACAAGGACCGGATAAGAGTCAAGTTGAAATATTACGCAAGATAGCCACTACTACAGTACAACCATTTGAGGACATCACTTGAAATTCGATGCCCCGAAAATAATCTGATGAGCAAAAACACTCATGCCCAATGCCGAGTTACTACTTAGTTGCAGTTGCAACAATATCCCACCTTTGCTGGGTTATGTGTGAGTTATCTAATCAAATTACAATTTGGTATTATGTTGCCTTGGAGATAACTGGCAGATTGTGGCATGCTGGGTGGTGAGAGTGGACACAGTTGTGTCCTACCTTTGCTGAGTACTGTATAAATGAAAAAGGTGGCTATTTTGCGGGTAGTCAGTGTGAAAGAATCTGAAATTTGGAAAATGCTTCTCGTTGTAAATGGAAATGCAAATGAAGATCTTGCAGAAGGATTCAAGAACAACAAAATGAAATTAGCGCTGACGGTTGTATTTGTCGATTTGATTGGACTCCATTCTTGCTCTACTTTTAAACTTGCGTAACATCTGCCTTTTGAAAACTGGGTCAGTGGAAAAGAGTTTGGGAAGCAGCCTTCGTCGTCGTCGTTATTGCGTAGCTGGATTGCGAATACAGGCAAGAAAGGTCTTGTTCCACTGGCGCAGTCTCTGGTCTTAACGAGAACCAGATGCTCATGAATCACGCCTTTGTGGGCTGACTCGGCCAGTGGAGAAGTCGAACTGGCCACCCAGCCCCCTTCAAACGCCATCCTCTAAGCCCACCCCCACCTCCTTTTTTTTTTACCTCTCTTCTATCTTTGTGCCAGGTTCCTGTTCAGGTCAGTAAACTTCAGAAGCAAGCCCAATGGACCAATGCTGGTGGCCACCTACTGGCCTGACCTGCCCAGCAAGATAGACGCCGTCTATGAAAACCCAGTGGAGGAGAAAACAGTCTTCTTCTCAGGTTGGATGAATAAAAGTGCTGATTGCTGTCATTTTATGTATTTATTTTTGCATCAGAAACAAATAGTTGTCTATGCTCCTTAACCGCTTGGATGACTTTGCTTTTAACGGTCAGCCATCTCCACCTCCTGGAACTGTCGATGGGGATGTCCCGTATTCCAATTTGCACTTATTACTGGTTCTTCAAACATTCTTTGCTCTTGACTAAACTAAATTAAGTAATGATGTTCCTGGACTGGGATGAGCTTTACATAATACGTGCCAGTTGTAAAAACATGCCTAATTTCACTCGAATTTGCACTCAACTCAGAACGAAATAAATAGTTTGTTTTGTGTTTATAGTGTGCATTAGAGCTCAACTAGGGAAGGGTTTTTGTCGAAATGGTTATGGTCAACAATATTAATTGTTATTTTTTTGGTGATTGAATATCCTCAGTGGGTCTGGACAATGGTATCGATTACATGATATCGAATATTCATTTGTACACAACAGGTTAGAATTCTTGTTCTAATGTTCTCATCATGCCACACATCATGGGAATTTGTCAGTATTGGAATTGATCAGTAACTGACATCACAACACACACTCGAAATGGCATCACTTCTTCACTTTGGAGAAATGATTTCATTCCGTCATAGCGGTGGCGCACTCCGTAATCCCACACAGTAGAGCAGCTCCACCCATGTTGTGTTTTCATCCACTTGGGAAGTTGAATGCGTGATGACCTTATGTCATACAGGCAACGAGATGTGGGTGTACAAGGCTGATGAATTGGAGAGAGGCTACCCCAAGAGCCTCGACAGCCTCGGCCTGCCAAGCGACCTGGAACAGATTGACGCCGCTTTCAGCTTCAGGAAGAACAGGAAGACGTACCTCTTTGCAGGGGAGCAATTCTGGAGGTGAGACAAAAATGTGTTTACCTGTCAAAGAACCTTGATTGTGTCATTAATTTGCTAAAGTAACTTTGGTATGTGTGGCTTGCAGATACGATGAAAATACAAAGACAATGGACAGCGGTTTCCCCAAACTCATTGCTGAAGCTTGGAATGGCATCCCTGATGGTGTTGATGCTGCCTTCAGTCTCAGCGGAATTGGTAATTTCCTATTTTTGTTGAACATGAAGTACCTTTTTCCACTCTGATGACATCCAGTACAATAAACTGCATCCAAACAACGGGCGGGTGACTAATCCAGAGTGAACAGCGCCTCTTGCCCAAAGTCAGCTGCGATAGGTTCAAGCCTTATGAGGATAAATGCTATTGAAAATGTGTGGGTGGAGCTACATCCAAGATACTGCTTTCCAAAATTAATAATGTGCATCGCATTATATTGTGAGGTATTTCTTATCGTTAAGACCATGTATATGGAAAAAAATGGCAATTTAGCATCACCCATTTATCCAGTGGACGGTACCTGCTTCGGATTGGGCTTATTTGGCACAGTCCAGGTCAAGTAGAAGTGACATGCACAAGTAGAAGTCCTGTAATTCAGCAGTTTCAAACAAAACAGGCAAATTTCTTTTCAGTTTGTTCCATGGGCCCTTGAGCCTTTTTTGAGCAGCCCATAAAATATGTTCACTGAATACTGAGTTGATGGGAGAATCTTGTGTATTGTTGTGGGCTTTTTTTTTTCTAACTTTCTGCCCGGGCTCTACTGACTGAGTTTTGAGGGGTCTCTGTTTCGGAACGCTAAAATGCATATTGTCTGTTTTCATTACAATACAGGCACTTGCAAAAATATATATAAGTTTTAATTGGACCAAAAATCACAATTGAGTTATATTACTGCTATTGTCAGATACTAGAGAATGTATGGTGGCCTTAAGGTAACAAAAAGACAAGCATTCTAGCAAGTGTCATGACCAAGATAGCACATTAACCTATTGAGTCAAGTTATTTGTTTGTATGTGTAATGTTGATTACTTAAAGCAGTCGACAACATAGAAATCAATTGTACATGTCGTGCTAACTTTGCTTCGGACAGCATAAAAGAACAGTCCAAGTAGGACAAATTTTCGGAATGCACGTCGGTGAAAACCACGACGGGTCTCTTTCTGAATGGGAATATTTTGCTAGTAGCATTTAAGCAAGGTTTTTTTCTCCATTGCGGCTCTGCTAAGATGTGTGGCAGATTCAGCATTTCAGAGTGGGCGTCTTTATAATGAAGTGAGTCGGTGCCGCTAGACAGAGGAGCCTCTGTTTGCAACATTTGGAGAAACCTGAACTAGTGCATGAAGGGCCCACTACGTGAAGGGGTAAAGTGGAGTAGTGTCATAACAGATCCATCAGAAGGCACTGTTGCCCTCAATTGTATTCTTTTGTCCAAGTATAATATTGAACAGAGTTTCAGAATGAATGTGTGTAAACAAGCCAGGCTCACTTGTCTGACATATGACGTTTTATTACAGTAATCTCCTGCATATTCATTCACCTATTTGTGTATTTTTATGCTCTTTCCAAGGCTCTGAAGAAAAGTCTTAGAGTAATTTGTGTCAAGGAAGGATGTTGAAGTGATACACTTCAACTGAGAAACAAGTTGTATGACAATTTAGAATTTAGATTTTGTTGGGGAGAACAAAACTGGGGTAGAGGGAGAAACCCCACAGTGATGATGATAACCTGCCATTTTGGCTAATTCCAGTGACAAGGACAATGCCGCAATCATATTCGACCCGAGGCCGCTGCGGTGCACGTTATGTTTTAATCCTGCATTGGAAGCCTCCATTGGACTTTCTACACAGCGAAACACAGCCTTTGTTTGTTTTTTTTGTGTTTTTTTTACATGTGACATTTCACGTGTCACACTGATGCACATTTACTATATCATGTACTCTTTCTTTTGTATTGTTCTTTGTTTTTACTTTAGTTTTTAATAGAGACATCAGGTATGTCCACACTGCACTGAACGCAGTGCTTTTAGCGTGCTGTGAGATGAGCTTGTTGTGAACGGCATAAGGAGTCCACGTTTGGCTGAGATGAAGCCAATGCGTGTCATGTGGTTTTAGAAGAAATGTATCCGTTTTAACTGAAGTTGATGTGCTCTTGGTTGTGCAATACATAAATGACTTTTGCACGATCTCTGTGACCGAATATGGTGCTTTAGAAACTTTCTTAAGAAAATGTACACAATGGAGTGTCAAATCTAAAGGAAAGGCTTACACAAATGTAGGTGCGATCTTTTTATTTGACCCTCATTTGTATATACGTGCATTTTTATATTCTGTGTAATGTCTGATGTGGGGGAATTTCCAGGAGTAATATGTTTAGGCACACATTATTTTCCTTTTGGTTAGCACTTTGGAAGAGCTTTGTTGTTTTAGTTTGGTATGGAGGGATTGAAGGCACAGGTTGCCTATTTAGGTCGTGTAGGTTTGCTGCATGATGAAATCATGACAAGAGTACCCCAGTAGTATTGCAAAAAAAACCCCAAAATCTTTTCGTTTGTTTTTCCCTCAACTTGTCGATACAGTTGTAGTTTTTTGTCTTGGTTGCCACGCTTGTGCACTTTGTTACTGACATCAATAAAAATGGTATTATAAAGTAATAATGTGAAACGAGTGTGATTTACGCATGAATTCAACCAAACAGTAAATAACAATGATAAGTTACTGCCCCAGCAAGGCTTTCCCCAAGTGCACAAAGCAAGGCTCAGAGTGAAAACCTGTCCTCATCCTTTTGACCAGACCATTATGTCCTGGACTTTTTTTTAATGCATATAAAACTGCGCCACCTTGTGAAAATTCTAGTAAAGAACAGTAAAATCACTGCAATCATTTCTTAGTTATTGCAGCGTATTATAGCAGTAATGTTTTTGGAATCTGATTGTGTGTGTGTGTGTGTGTGGGGGGGGGGGGTCTAAAAATACAAACTGACCACAGTTCACTACAGAGAAAAGGCTGAATGACCATAAAATCCAAATCATGTATCGGGGAGCCCCATTGGCTGTACCGCGGGATAGGGATGAAGGCCACAGTCCTTGTAGTGAGACGATGATGGAGGTGTCCAGTAATCGAGTCGCATGGAATTTAACGGCAGTACCAAGCCGAAAAGAAGCCATTGCTCCGGAGTCTGTCCACGGTCCACGCGATGGATCCTTGTTAATGTTAACCACTTCATTCCAAAGTCCGACCAAAACCTGTCATCTTCAAACTCAGAATCATTAAAATGTTGGCTGGAAACGACATTTCGTTCACTTGGTCTATCCAATTATATTTCGTTTTGCGTAATTGTTCAAACTATGTTTAATAATTAAACACACGCACGCGCACACACACGCGCACACACACGCACACACGAGGTTTTACCTTAGCAAATTTACATTTGCGAATATGAACCTACGCAAGAAATATAATGACAGTAATTAGATATTATAAGGTATTGTTTTTCCAGTGACATGTCACACTTTTCTCCCCGTCCTGTTGTTTTTGATGCATTCCCTTCATTGTACTTTTTTTATTTAATGCCATCTAATACATTGAACGCCATCAGTGAGTGCCAAGAAAGGCACCGTTAAAGAAAATATATAGTTATTACTTTAACAAGCAAAAAAAAAAAAAAACCATTCTGCAAAGTCATTTTAATACATTATCCCTCCAAAAAAATCTACAGACGCACTGACCCAGTTTACGGCAATGTGAACATTTCCAAAATAGATGAATAACAGTCTCAGAAGGGAAGTCACAGAAGACAGAGCTCATATTAAGATCAAGTTTAATTGAACAAAGAAGGCTGTAAGAGGCTAACACTACGACTATGACAATGTGTCAAAACTCACATGTATATGAATGAAAGTACCTGTAAAGTCTTTCCAAAACACGCACACGGTGAAGCAAGGGAGGCGGAGCTTGATATGGGTCACTTCCGGGATGGTTTCGGCTGACTGTTTTGCTAGCATGAACGCTGCGCCTTACCCCGTGAAGGAAGAAAAGAGAAAAGGGTAGAGGAAGTGAAATGATAACATGAAGCTGCTGCTCTAACTGCATCCTGCGTCGATTTCCTGCCTCGCGATGCCGTCTCAACGCGTCTTCGCTCTGCCAAGGCAGCAATCGCTGCTCCTGCCTGCCGTCATTAACCCATTTGTGCAGGACACCGAACTCTCCAAGGCCACCATAATCAAAGTGAGTCACAATGGCGAATTAATATCAATGCATAGAAGGGATAAATGCACGTCGACATGTGTGCGATTAGGCGCACGATCCCCCGGCCTCTGGACATGTAATCTGCTTTGCAATGGTGTGTGCTGCAAGAACAATAAGAGCCCCTGTGTGCGGCTACCTACTGATTTGGATTTGACGCACGGAAGGAATGTAAACATGGATTGTGTGTTTTCCGAACATTACAATAACTATGCGTGTGTCCAGTGTATCCTCCAGGGAATTTTCCTGGTGCCTCTTCGAGCAATCCTTATCTCGTTGGTCCTCATGGTAACCTGGCCAGTGGCTGTCATCATCACCTTCAAACATCCTCTCAAAGGAGCTGTGGCACCAATGACAGGATGGAGAAGGTAACCTTTCTCATTGACATTCCTCGAAGGGAGAAAAACACTACTTTCACTTACAAACTTTTTACTCATTCAGCAAATCAATATTTCCCATTGAAATGTAATTAATCAACCCACAAAATTGACTTTTTTGTTCAAGAAAAAATAGCACTGTATTGTATAAATACACAGTACTACACAATAAAAGTTAATGTAAATAAACGATTTTATAAAGTGTCAATACTATACTATGGAACAAGCCGAAAGTCAGAACAACCTTACTGTAGCGTAAATGTTTAATGTTTAATGTTTAATGTTCAGCGTAAACTTGCTGATTGGAATGTCCTTGCATGTGGGGAAAAATTGCCATAGTTGCTGATGCACTTTTCAGCCATTTAACAGGAAAACACTCAAGCTTACAGATGCACACACTGAAGTCAAAACCCAGTTCAAATGAAGTTAAGGTGTTGCTGAATATAGAATAAGATTTGCAAATCATGTTTATCCTATATTTAATTCAATATACGACTAGACAGCTATCATACACCCAACCATGCATTTCTAATACCGCCAATCTTGGCCAAGTTCTCGGGGCTGCTGGAGCCTATCCGGGTCCACCCTGAACTGGTCGCCAGTCAGTCGCAGGGCACATTAAAAAGACGAACAACCATTCACACACACACATCCACACCGTAACTGAGTGGAACCGATCCCACGGTGCTCGCACACAAGTCAGGCAAGTGTACCACTATACCATCAGCGACTCACATAACGTTCAATAACCTTTAAACAGACACTACTGTACTGTGCAATAACAATACAAACAGATGCATTTTCTGTACCGCACATCCTGTTCAGAATTGTGGGAAGCTGGAAGCTATCCCATTTAACGTTGAGAAAAGGCAGACTCTGGTAACCCCCTGAGCTGATCAGCAGTCACATTTCCCGGCACTGTAGAGACAAACAACCTTCCGCCCTCACATTCACACCATCACTGAGTGGGAAGTGAATGCCTGCTTTCTGCACGGAAGTCTGGGGAGTGATCCATTACACCATTACGGACAGCACAAATGATGAGGAGATTGACATCCATCAAAATGAGTTCCGTCATTGGTTTGATTGTAATTGTCATGTTTTTGCTTGTAATGATTTTTTTTTTTTTTTTTACACAAAAATACATGCAAAAGCGAAACACAGTTGTTGAGTTAGTCTTTGGAATATGTAAAAAGTCCTCGTCATATGGTCATATAAAATGCAAAAGTTTTACTGTGGGGAAAAAAAAAACCCACAGGGCTGTAATCATATCATGGTGTACTCCATTGTCTGTCCTGTGAGCGTGGCTCTGCTGCAGCATGTTCTCGGATTTGCGTTCAAAAACAAAAATGCCCGCCAGCCAAAGCAGTGTATTGTCAAAACAAATAGATATTGACATTGTTTGTGTTAAGTGCTTTTTTTTTGAGATGGTATCTCAACAGCAGCGTTACTTCGGTTCTCTTCCCATAACACTAAGACTCTTTGGGTTGTTCTGCTTTAATTCCTCCATTATCTGCCGATCTAATTGCTGAAATCAAAATGAGTGTCTGCTGTCGGAATAGTTGTGGAAAGGGACAACTTCAACAATGAGGAAGTCAGTGGCGGAAGTCGATAATGGTTGCAGCCAAAGTTGTAAAATGTTTTGCAATCCTCACTGCAAAGACTTAAAGCCAACGAGTCTGAACAAGTGGCACGATACGGGTGTTTAAATAAATCTAAAATACAACACGACTTTTGCTAGACTTGCACAAGTAGTGAAGCAACTAAAGATAATTCCTTTTTTCTTTTTTTTTTTGGACAGCAAGAGACATATTATCATCACAGTATAACACAATAGAACAACTTACAAGTTGTTCAGTGATACTGGTTGACTTCCAAGTTGTTCTAATTTTACTAAACCCACCCACAACTCATTGGAAATTCTAAAAAAATAAAAATAAATGCCCTTATGGGCTCAACCAACGCTGAGTACATTGACATGTCTAACGAAAACTGGTGCCACCTGCAGGCTCATGTGTCAGAGTGTGATGGCTGCCCTGGGGAGAGCCTACTACTTCTGCATGGGCTTCCGGGTGGTGGTCAAGGGCAAACAGGTGGGCAGTGGCGAGGCCCCCATCCTGGCCGTGGCCCCCCACTCCACTTTCTTTGACGGCATCGTGTGCATCGTGGCGGGCCTGCCCTCGACCGTGTCTCGTGTGGAGAACCTGGCCACGCCCATATTTGGCAGTGAGACACTTTTTTTTTTTTTAATCTGTTCATTCATTCGAGCACTTTATGTGAAAAGGAAACATTTGCATTAGACATTTTTTGGGAGCTGAAGGCGACTCAAGATAAAACATTTCTGTCTTTATTTTTAAAAAGTTGAGGTTGATATTAAGATGTAATTTTACACTGGTTAGTTTCAGTATGTCATTTTGCCAATTTATGATGGTTACCTTATCCCATCTTTTAGATAATTCCTGTCATATGCTTCACTGGACTCCATGTTTTGATGTATTGACAATTTTTTTTTTTTTTTTTTAATTTGAATATTTTTCCTCGCAGGGTTTGTACGCTGCCTCCAGCCAGTACTGGTGTCCAGAAAAGACCCCGACTCAAGGAAGAACACCATCCAAGAGATTGTTGGCAGAGCCAAGTCAGGAGGCCGCTGGCCACAGGTATAAAAAAGGAAAATACACACATAAATAAACAACCGCTTGTTACTTAAAAAAAAAAAAAAAGAATTTCAGAGTTGATTTTTAAGTGCTAGATGTGCATCACTTCCCTTGAAGCAGGTTTTTCTATTGTTTTTTTTGTTTGTTTTGTTTTGTTTTTGGAAGCAGGTTTTTATATTGTTTTTTTTTGTTGTTTGTTTTTTTACCGGTTTATTCTTCAGGTTTTGATATTTCCTGAGGGGACGTGTACAAATCGCTCTTGTCTCATCACATTCAAGCAAGGTAAAGTATAAAAAGCCATCCATCCATCCATCCTTTTACTTGTCTTGGTTAGGTCACGGGTGACTCAGGTCACTTCAACATAGTTCCTTTGCACCAAGGTTCGTCAAGATAGTGAAGCTGTGAATTATGAATATGCAGGGAACACTGTTCTCCTTGTTCAAAGTAAAAGATGGGGCAGGGAAAATATCTCCAGGAATCATGACTTTCTTTATTTGCTTGCATTCTGTCCAAAAGGTGCCTTTATTCCAGGCGTACCTGTGCAGCCTGTGATTCTGAGATATCCGAATAAAATAGTAAGTTTTGTCTTCACAATAAATATACACAAAGACATCTTTCTTGAATGCAGCACTTGAATTTGATTCCCTCGCATTCTGCATGTGTACATAATGATGTGGCTCCGGAACAAACTGTATACGCCCTTTCCGTGTGCATCAGATTTGTATTTGTCCCATTTCCTTCCATCCAGGACACAGTAACATGGACTTGGCAAGGTTTTAGTTCGTAAGTGTCCTCATTCTAAGAATTGTTTTTTCCTTCACAGATTAACACAACCAAACACATAAATGGCTCCCTTGTTTTGCTGCTTTTCTGCTGTTTTAATACATTTATATGTCACCAACTGCCCTTAATGAAATTGTGTGTAGGAGGACCCTGCTACTGCTAACGCTGTGTCAGCTCTACACCACAGTCGAGATTGAGGTAACCTGCTAACCTGCTTGGCTTTACAATTTTTTTTGGTCTCGATGTTGCCTTCTGAAGGTTTGTGAAATACCAGAATTGCTGTATAATGCTTAGAAGTCAATAAATCATGCATGGTTATGATAGACACTGCACGTTTACAAACATCTGACAATTTCAACCTTAAAATCCCGCTCCCGCACACTGTAATCACATTAAAAAATATTTCAACACAGTTTTCAAACACATCGTCGACATCTTTCGAGACACGAAATATATGCACCGTCACGTTGAACAGGAAAATCTGCAAGATGGCGGCCTTTCGTGTCCAATATGTTGAAATAAATACGCATTTGACCACTGTCAAAATGGCTGCTGAATGTCACTGATGTGACCTTCCTCATATTGTTCTTCAGTTTCTGCCGCCTCACATCCCCACAGAGGAGGAGAAGAAAAGTCCCGCTTTGCTCGCCAGCAAAGTGAGAGACATCATGGCCAAGTGAGTAAAGGAAACGCGTGCGAAGACTCAAACCTGGCTTCTCTGTGTACGATGTGCTCAACGACGCCTGCAGGGCCTTGGGTGTTCCGGTGACGGACCACACGTACGAAGACTGCCGGCTGATGATCTCTGCCGGCGAGTTGACGCTGCCGATGGAGGCCGGCCTGGTTGAATTCACCAAAATCAGTCGCAAGCTCAAGTAGGACGAATAACAACTTGGCTTTAAGATGACGTGGTATGAACCCGCCGTCTCTTCTTTAGTATCAAATGGGACAATGTGAGGAAGGAGTTGGACGGTTTCGCCGCCATGGCCACTTCCTGTAAAGGCGGACGTATCAGCATCAAGGAGTTTGCCAGCTTCCTAAAGCTCCCCGTCAACCCTGCCCTGGAGGAACTCTTTGCGCTCTTTGACCGGGTACAACAATACACGTCTTTACTTATCTAAACACACAGTTCGTTTCGAAACCATTCCGTTTTTTTTTTTTTTTTTTTTAATATTGTTTACAAGATAATCAGGATTTTCAAGACTTGGTCAAAATAAGCCAAGGATCAAGAATTACAGAATGCTTTCGACTTGAACCGATTCTTTTAACCCCTTTTTGAGAGACTGCTCTTTTCCATGTCACAAAGTGAGCATCTGCTCTCCCTCGACTGCAGAGGCAGTACTGAGTACAGTTTACAGTGGCGAGTGACAAGGCTAGTGGCGACTACTAATCCAGAGTGTTAAGACTGTAAGCGCATAAATTGTGAACTTAGCTGCCTTACTTCACTTACAAATTTCGATCGTGGATCTGTGCAAGTGATGCATGCGGCAGATCTTGCCAAACACGAATGTGCCTCACCCACGTTGGTGACTTGGCCAAACATTTGAGTATGGGACGCTTATTAGAAGCAAATATTGTTTAGCTAATACTAATCTTTGCTAGAACTGCAGCTCTGCTTACCTTTTAGTAACATTTTAGCAGTTGCAATAAGTTTAAGTGACAGTTAGCAATCCAGAAAGTGTAAACTGCAAGACGGTAAAGGCATCGATGGTAATTTCACCCCTTGTGGCAGCACTTCATCATCAAGCTGCCAAATTACACTTGTAAATAAATTAGTGTGCGGAGCCATACTTTTAGTTCATGGCAAAACTGAAATTATCCCCTTGACATTGACAACTTGACCAAACACGAATATATGCCGCCGATTAAAATGTAAGGCTGACATTGCAGCTCTGCTTACCCTTTTGGCTTTAGCATGACGATCATGCTTGAAAATGTCAGATTTTCACTCAGCCTAGCCGTCATGGGGTGAGAAACACAGAGTGGGGTGTAATGTAAGTTTGCCAAATTGTGACCTAACAATGTATCAAAATTCAGAATGGCGCGCTCCCAATAAATTGGCAGCTCAGATTTTCTTTGTTGTTCAATTGTACAAAAGCCAGGTAGACAGCTGCTTCTTTGCAAGCAAGTAGATTCAAGTTTACCTCATATTTCCTCCTTTAAGTAAAGCTGTACTCATTGTTCAGGCAAGGGTTCAAATAAATCACTCTCTCGTCTCTACTTGCATGTTTAATGGCTCTTGCCCAGAATGGCGATGGCACCATAGATTTCAGAGAGTATGTCATCGGCGTGACCATCTTGTGTCGACCTGCTAACACAGAAGAAGTGCTTCGTCTGGCTTTCCGGGTATGTTCACTTTGCATTTTTGAAATGACTAATTAATGCCATTCGACTAATGTTACAGGCACATGAGTAAAATATTTGAATAGCATAGATTTAGCGTTACTTCGGACTTGGCTTTCTTTGGTTTGAGTAATACTGAACAAGGCTGAAAGCTGAGTGTGTGGCTCTGCTGTGAAATGGAAGCAGACAGCTGCATTCAGAGACATTTGGATCATGTCACGGTAATAATTTGTGTCTGTTGCCGAGTGCTGTGGGAGTCCTGGAGTCAGTCTCGGAGTCAATTTCCCCCGACCAGGACAACAAATGTGGTTTTGGACAAGGACTGGAAGAAAAAAAAAAAAGAATCCTATTATAAAGTTTCACTTTCAGGGTGACCTCTCACCAGAGAAATTTTGTGGTCTGTCTATGTCCACCAAATACAGGCTTATCATCCAAATATTTCTTCTTGTTTTAGCTGTTTGACACAGACGAAGATGAGAAAATCACCCGTGAGGAGTTCACAGCACTGCTGCGCTCCGCTCTGGGAGTCTCCGATCTCAACATGGTCAAACTTTTCAAGGAAATTGACGCTGACGGCTCCGGTTTTATCACCTTCAGTGAGTATAAAACTTGTATCTACCTTTTTATCCTTTTCTTGCCTTTCAAATGTACAGTGGCGCATTGAGATACGAGGTGAATTCATTCCGTTACCGTGCGCGTGACTCAAAACACTCATATCTCAAGCCATCATTCACCATTTTAGTCAATGGAAATGCCATTAGGACGTTCAACAATTCTTGTAATAAGTAAAATAGCACTGTAGAAAATGTTAGTTTATAAAAACATACAGTAATTAAATGGCTAGATGGGAATGGAAAAAAATTAAGTTAATGCATCATGATTAAGCCTTTGCTGCACTTTCTGGTGTCTGGGAATTGACCACCGGGGGCAGTATAATGCCATCATGCAGACACAACCGAACAAGAGTCTCACAACTACTGCAAGTGACTCGGCAAACTGCCGTAATATTAGTTGCGTTTTGTTTTGTTGTTCTATTGTCTGTCTACCTGTGTTACTGCACCGTTTGTGTTCAAATATCCGTTGGTGAAAGCGTTAGAACATCGCGACACTTGTACTGTTTTTTGTTGCATGTATAATTTTATGTTTTGGGAAAAAATCTAATTGTCCTGAGGTGTGAATGATTGTTTGTCTGGGATTGACTCCAGCTGACCTGCGGCCAAAGTCAGGATAAGTAGGATAGAAAATGGATGAATGGCATTTCTCTGGGTGAATAGTCGCCCTGAAAACACAATTGCTGCAGCCTGGAAAGGCAAAGCAGCAGGTGGTGCTATAATCCCCAACTGCAACTGACTCTAAGGCAATTTGAGCCAAGAAGCCAGTTGAAAGGAATTTCCCGGAAAAAGTGCAATAAAAGAAGACAAAGAATTGTTGTTAGTTGAATGCAAAAAAATTAATTTCTTTCATCCGCTCATATTTTGTAAAAGAAAAAATCACTTATTGTGTTGGACCACTTGAATATGAATATGAAGTTCATAAAACAAAAAGGAAAACGCAATCCTCTGTCAATACCACTTGTGTCCTGCGAGTGGCAGCAATGTCCACCAAAATCAAAATTTCCAGTCTACGCAAACTTTTTTTTTTTTTTTTTAAACCTTCCTGACAAGTAAACGTTTGAAAATATTCCGTGTGTTGGGGATCCCTCAGGTGAGTTTCAAGCCTTTGCCACAACACACCCGGAGTACGCCAAGCTCTTCACCACTTATCTGGAGCTGCAGAGGTATCAGGCCATCCAGGAAGCAACGCCCGGGGATCTGGAGCTCAGCGGTTCTGGGGAGAACCAGGAAGACAGCACCTCGGACAAAAAGGATGACTAACCCCATACGCGGTCCTCTCACTCCCGTTTAGTCATCACAACCATGTTGTAGGTCATGTTGCTTGCCTTTTATATGGACATTTTTAAAAATGTTTTTCTTTTGAGGCTTAGTCGTTCGTGCCTTATGGGGCAGGCACTAATTCTGTGGATTTTGGAGCACCTGTCATCGTTGCAGTTTGGTCATACAACACCCTCGCTTTTTTTTGTACGGTACTTCTTTTGTGTGTTCCTTGTTAAATTTCTTCATACATAAACACAGGTATTATGTTACTTTACTTTCAGAATTGTATCCACTGACGCCTGGCAATGGCCACTTGGCAACATGAAAGTTAGTGGAGATCTCTACTCAGACAATAAAGTCAAGAACTTATGACCGGAAAGACATAGGAAGTCAACCATTCTGGTTTGAAGGGGTCATCTTAGTGTCATGGTGGCCATTTTTGATAGACGATCTCTTCCCACCGATTTGATTATCAGATTGCTGCCAAAATTGAGTTGTTTTTTTTTTTTTTTAATTAAGACAGCTTTACCTATCCACAGGAAATTTGACAGGCATAACTCACTTGATAATGGAGTTTTTGTAAGGCTTTTGAGCAACATCATTTTCCCCAAAATTGGTTTAATCCAACTAGAATCATTGAGGAAGCGATGTAAATATAGATGCAAATTTGATTTTAATTTCGCAAAACATTGCACTGAAAGGGGGGAGGCTTCTTTTTGCAAACAATTGCATAGGTTGTGTCACAATAAATAGAAAATAATTACATATATAAAATAAAAAGTCAAATGATTTCATATGTGCGGTAGCCGTGTTCACCCCCAAAAGACAAATAAACATTCCGTTTTCGGTGTTTTTCAACTACTAATTCTTGTGCTTGGACTTGCTGTGTGCATTATACCTTGTGTGCTTTCCACCTCATGTGACTTTCTTTGAGTTTACCACGCTAACACCTTCATTTGTTCCACATAGAGGCAAAGGGTTTCAGTGTGCCAGTGTAATTAGTGTACAGTCCGCTTTATTAGGATTCCAAGCAAGCAGATGTTGTCGGCGTTATGTGTGTACTCAGGGACATGGACCTTTGTCAGACAGCTGTATAATTAGCCAGAGCTTTTGCTTTGCATGTTCTATCTATTTGCATCCCAACTCGACATGCTGAGACAGCACGAAAGTCAACTCCAGCGCAAATAAAATAGGGCAATTTGTGAGCAAAAAGCCAAACAGTGTATTCCAGAGGGCGTTCACACAAACAAGCAGTTTTGTTTGTTGTTTTGTCGACTCGGCAAATTTTGAAAGTAAAACAAGAAGATATGTTTAATTAACATTGTTTTGCAGTGAAAAAAAACGTGTTTATTTTATGATGAGGCACCTCCGACTGAATGGGCCACCGCTGTGTCATTCACTGAGCCACCACATGGGGGCAGCAATCTTATGGAAATGTTTTTACTTTCAAAAGTGGTTAACCCCCCCCTGCATGTTCGTACTGTACTCTGAACGACAACATTTCAATGAACTTTATTCCATAAACGTTACAACAAATGTTTCTATAGTGAACACAAGAAAATGGGCAATTGTGACGTGTCGTTGTGATTGAACTAAAAATAAAAACGCCAACCATGTGTGACAAGTGTTTTTTTTTTTTTCAACACTTCTAAAGACATGGATAAAACATAATCAGGTTGTAGTGCGTTATGGTCATCACCCGTCACCATTACTTTTTTTCGTACCTTTAACATCAAGCTGTCCACTCAGCTCTTTTATCTTTTGCACACTTTTATGCACTGCAAAGTTATTTCATCCTGTGTACGGTTTAAATCTATTGATCCTAGGTATGATGTTGGATTTATGCATGAATCGGTCCATGCTCGCTTTTAACTGTGCCCTCTTGCCCTTTGCACGTGCGATGTTGAGATAAATGATTCTCGGGCTGGCGGCTTTATTAAAAGCTCCACCGTGAAAACAAACTTGTGAATTCCACCTTTCAATCGGGTTTAACCTTTGCAAAACGTCTCATTTCATTTGGATCCAAGCTGATGGGATCAATGGAGGCACGTGCCCCTCGTCCCTTTTAAAGACGCTGGGACTTCTTCCTGTGTGCTCCCCACCCACCAACCTCACTAACACATGCACACGCACTTTCGCACACCCTGAGCCAGCCTTGCTCTTCTTGCATTGTATATATTGCTGTATCCATTTCAGCAGCGCCTGGGGGCTGATCTTGTCGCAGCAGATTGTGGGAGATACACACCCCCTAATGTGATTTGGTGGCAGGACCTGGCTGAGCCAGCACGCAGTCTCAGTTAGGAGCGCGCGCCGCGCACGGGCATCGAACGCATGGTGAGGACAACGGGCCCCGGCTCAGGGAGGTCAAAAGGGATGGGGCTTGCTATTAAGTGGATGTGAGGTCGACATGCTAACCACTAGCCCACCGTACTGCCTCAGGTAGTATTCATTGGTGTTGAATACCTAGCGGAATCTTAAAAGTGGTACAATTTGGAATGCAACCAAAATGCTCTGGAAAAAAATAGGGCTCAAGAGTTGCATAAACTCACATCGTAAGACTTCAGATCAGTGAGCCGTCTCAAGTCAGTGTGCCAGGTCTCTGCCGTGATGTCACAGGGGAGGGAAAGGCTGATTTTCAGGATTTATGCAGTGTATTTCTTTTTACGTAGTCATGATGCATTTTTTGTGATGCCACCCCAGAAGGATGGAAGCGATGTTGCAGTTTGACTCTCCATTAGTCCCTTTCACATGGCTGTCTTCATCCAGTGAATCCTTTTTCTCCATTGTAGTTTTATTATATGGTGGTTAGCTTCTGTTTATTCTTGCGCCACAGTGTTCCGCTTCGAATTTAAGCAGGGGTGATTCTCGGATCCGAGGTTTGTAGGTGCTGAGCGAGCACCCACTCAGAGAAGATACGTTTAAACTATCTGCCCATTTTAATTCAATTTCATTCCCTTGTTTATGAAAGAGAAGCAAAACACTTTTTGGTCGCGTCTGTGACTAAGGCGCTTAATCTGATGAAGGTCAAGTAATGGTAATGGATGATGAATGTTGATCCACAGCAAATAGGAATTAATTGGATTTATAAAACAAACAAATTGTAACCCTTCTCATTTCTGGGGAATGACAACTCATTCTGATAAAACGGCACCTTCTTACGCATTACAGTATGCATTTTCTCGAGGGTAAACAAAGTCCTTTTTGTGAGAACAAAAAAAATAATACTAACTAAAATTGCTAAAATTGTACTTTGAAAATTAATATATAGTATAAAAAAAACTCTCTTTTCTCCTCCCTCTCTCTGTCTCCTTTGTCATGATGATTAGCATCCAGTCGGTTAGCTTGCCAGTAGCGCCAAAAGTTTAATCATGACACCTGTGGATGACACAACGGTTAACTTTGCTCATTGCTATTCAGAGGACAGCGGCGCTCCGCTCCCTCTGACATATTCCTGTCTTTAAGGAGTTTTCAAGCATGAAGTCGTTTTCCTGTATGTTCGCTGTATTATGCAATGGTTGACTTATTTGTGTTTTTGAACAACTTTTTTCACGTATCATCGTGGCAGAAGGAATTCATTCACTTTATGTTATTTTCCCTTGGAATTCAACCAACTTTGAAGTGTTCTTTTTGGGACGATTAACTGTATTATGATTCAAAATCAGGATATCATGCTGAAAACATTGCATTCCACCAGGGTGGGTATTTTCTTGGAATGTTGCGTAAGAGGAACAAATTGTTATTATTTGTGCTTTATGTTCCTGGGATGGATCGTTCCTGTTTATGACAACGGGATTGAGATTCAAACACACACACACACACACACACACACACACACACACACACACACACACACACACACACACACTTGTGTATACAAAACATTCCGAGGAAATCCATCCAAAAGATGTGCATTTACTGAGCATATTTTGTCATTGTCGTGTAGCTCAAGGTCTTACAATGTGATGTACTGTAGTGTATACAGTATCGGAACATACTGATTATTGCAAGCCATCTGGGGCTCTACATTAAGTCAGGGGCGGGGAAGCTTTTTTCCCTGAGCATTTCAGCTTTTCTAAAGTCCTCCAAGGGCCATACAAAAGTTGTGAAAAAATACGATGTGACGATTGGACAGATGTTAATGAAATGGTTTGAGGCAGTTGCTCCTTGTAGCTTTTCTGATTTGAATTGAAATTCTAGTTGTGTTTCATGGGTCTTTAAGTCAACGTTTTCCTTGATTTGAAAATCTGATGCACACTCAAACCTGAACAGTCAATTTCCCCTGATGTCATACAATTTGTGTTTTGACCAAGAATTAGGGCAAATTTTTTTTTCAGGATAATTTGTAAATAACATCGAAAAGCGTAGCAGCTTGTTAGCATGGTAGATTAGCTTAACTTTTCTGTACGTAGCCTGAAAATGGCAAGCAAATATCGACTTTTTTTTTAAGGTAAGTCGTACATACACACCGTCGTGCTCTGTTAGCAGGTTATGATAAGCGCTAGCAACTTAGCATACCTCATTAGCTTACTTTGTTGTACATATACAGTAGCTGATGCACAAATACAGTGTTTTCTGGTTCCACACCAGCTATAAAAGTACAATAGGCCATACTGTATATATGAATTTCAGCATTGTGTCAACTCAAGCGACATGTCTCCTTTGTCAATATATGTCCACGACTTCCAGGGATCTTCTCAACCTGGAATTAAGGCCACTTTATTAAAAAAAAAAGAAATGTGTCCCCAAAGACAAAAGCCAGGTGTTTGTGCGCCGTGTTTTATTATTCTTTCAATTTTTTGCGGCGGCTTTGGAACAGGCTTCATGAAAATCCCCCTGACTCCTGAGGTCTTGCTTTCTGGCAAACTGTCTGGTTGGGCTCATCAGGGAGTTCCTCCAGACCTCATTGTTACGTTTCCTTATCGCACCAGATGACTGACACCTTGTTGATTCTCTCCCGACATTATTCTCTCAGCGAAGTGATTGTTCCCCATTTCCTGCATGATAGCTTGTCCAAACAGTGAAGTCCGGGCTTGGGCAGGTCCGCATGAAACGTCAGTGGTGTGATGGTGGCTATCTGCACAACAGGTTTATTTTCTTGTCCCTGTGCTTTGGGTGGTTCACAATTGTGTGCTTGCAGATGGTGTTCTTTGGACGAAGGGCGGCAAGTGACTGACCAGTCAGTGGCAAGCGTTGTGAGAAAAATACTTTAATACTGTATATTGTAAAAATCATCATCTCGTTTTGTCTAAATTGTGCTTACTGTCATTTTAAAAGGAATTCATTCACAGATTAAGTTAGTTCATAGCATTGCATTATTTGTTTTTGATTCATTGGCAACTTGTAGTTTGTTCGCTTCGATTGCAGCTGTTCCTGCAAATTTGATCTGGATTTAGTGAATCATCCGAATTGCATCGTGTCAAGTTCATTTTGACATTTGGCGCCGTCAAACTTATTGTTGCCCTCAGAGAGATGATGTATTATTATGATTTTTTATTCTTTCATGATTTTCTCTACAAGCTATTTGGTTGCCTAGTTTTGACATCAGAGCCCAAATAAAACTAGTGGAAGATATTTGCGGCATTATTTCCAGGCCACATTAAACAACAACTTTGAAAAGTGATATCTCACAATTTATTTCAAATAAAAACATTATTTTACATGCAGGACTAACTTAAAATGATGGTCCAACCTTCCTTGATCTTCCCTCACTCCTGCTACACAAATATGCCAGTCCTCCTGCTGCCAAGCCACACTTTTTTTTTGTACCTCCCTCTAATTGCAACCTACTATTCATACGAACCAGTTTGGGTTCACCCCGCCATTGTGCTCTTCACCTAAGCATCTGAGAACCTGTAGATAAAGGACGTGCCATTAATTTGAACAGCATTTTCGCACACTCGCTGTGCTGAAACCACCGTTTTTGCAGATGTGCCATAGTCCTCCTACTCTGCAAACACCTGAATCGTGATATTTTCACATCACGCAACACATGGAATAAGGCTTAACAATATGAAAGAACTTACATGTTTGCAGATACTACAGTGAGATATCTTAACTGGAATTGTACATTTTCAACACACTGGTGTTTTTTGAAACATTTTTTTGAAGTAGACAATACATCTAATTTAAAAGAATGGCTCAATCCATATTATTCGGTTGTGTGCAGCCACCTGACAAAATAAAATAGAATCATTTGAACACACCATTTTTTTTTCATGTGGTTAGTTATCAGGCTCATGGAACGCGATACCATGATGATTCTCGGCGGTTGGACCCTTTCACTGACGTCAAAGTGATGCACAAAGTGAAATTAAATTCCATCTTTATCTTAATGCTCATCTTCATTGACCAAGGAAAATTTTAGTGAACTTTGGTGGATTACCATGACCAAGATCTGGACCTGATCAGCACAGACATCCAAAGAAGCCTAAAATTAGCTCGGTGGAAAATTTGGATCTCGCGTTCAAAGCATGCAGCTCATCATTCAAAGCAACCAAGGATTGGAAAAGACCCCTTCATGCCCTCTCAATCTTCATTCTTCATTTAATTAAGGAATTTTCCGCCAATTATCCAACTTGTTGTGAACAGTCTGGGGAAGGATCTCGGAAGATGAGAGGAAATGCATATATGGACTATAAAATCCCACTGAGAGTTCAAAATCTTCTGCGTGCAAGTACGGATAATACTCACGCATGTGGGTCAACAAAGGTAAAAGGCAGAAGGTTGTGACTTCAGCTGGATGCTCCAGAGGTTCATGGTGTGACTGCTGAGAGGCTACGTCTTGTTTCATTACCTTCTTGTCTTGAAGGTCAACAACCGGAGCGACTAAACATTCAGAAAGGGGCGGCGAGGGCAAGTGCGATCGAGGTAAAGGAGGACTGAAATCAACGTGACTTTTAAAGCGGTAATGTTACAACTGCAAATGTTACCGGTTCAGTCAGCCGCTGTGTGCGCCTGTCGTCGTCCGAGTTGCACCTGGTTCCTGGTGCCTGATAAGGCAGATGCACAACAGACCAAACAAACAGAAGTCACTCAGGGAAAAAAACAAAAATAACATCAGGAATATAATCTTTTCTTGTTACCTGCTCCCTTCACTGCAGTTAATCAATCTCCACACAACACAACAACCGAGCCTATTAGGCTTTTATAAAACAAACCCCCGAAGAGCAAAGAGGACAGTCATTGACTTTAATGGGATGAACTGATCAACCATATCTAATAGAAATCATTCCCCCTGGCAAAAGCTGATGTGCAATTGAATTACGTGTGGAACACAATGCTTTTACTGCTTCTTAGAAAAACCCTAATTTGATCACTTTAGTGCAGAGAAGAAACAGATCGAGTCCATAATGTAAACAATATTTTTGTAAGTTACAGAAAATAATTTTTGTTGTTTTTTTTTTGTTTTCCTGCCAAGTAACGACTCAAACTCAATATTCAAATGGCTCCATCAAATATTTTGCAAAGGCTGTATGTTTGTGTTTTCATCTCGAACCAATTCACATAATTAATACATATTAATATATAATCTATTTTATCAATTTGAGATGAAAGTGGACTTTTCTCATGTAGTGGAAAGTGGACCTTTCTAATGTAGTCGGACAAAAAAATCTCCGTTCAAGTCCTTTTCCTCAAGCCATGACCACTTGAACGTGTTCCTAACACTCGCGTCAATTGCACATAGGTCAGCTTGCCTGTCTACCTGTTTGAACATTGCGCTGGGGCCGTATCTGGCCGATCACGCATGAATTAGTTTACACAAAACGCTATTCAAATACTCGACATTCAATGATTAATCTGCCTTTTGTGTGCACACGTGCACCCTTTGTGGCTTCCGTTCTCGCCGAAATTTCGAAATCTCCGAGATACAGTATGGCGAGGCCATGAGAATGCGAGACGAGGGGTGTTACTGTGACTAGTGTTCATGCCTCAACATGGTTACGCTCATGAAAGCAAAACAACGAACTCAAATGCGTGTTGGTTCAATGTTGTCAACTAATATCCGGATTAATTTTAGGACATTTTTCCTCAATTTTCCGGAGGAAATTTCATGAAAATGTGAAAATCTGGAATCCCGGGAAAATCCGGAGGATTTTCATCTCTAATCAATCATCGAGCAGAAGCACAATTGGTGGCTTGTGTTTGTTGTGATAAATTAAGATCTGTTGTGTTTAGAACCAAAGTTGGGAGAGTGTGACAATTGTACTTTATAAAAAGTAAAAGTCGAATGAGTCACCAATTAATTGACAACTGATTGAAAAAAATAAATGGAAATATTTCAATATAAAATGTTATTTATATACATATCTCATGGGAGCAGTGACACGAAAGAGGGTTGGGGGGGCATATTCCAGGGGGTGTTTGAGGTTGAAGTGTCCTGATGACCATGGTATATTTAAAATATAAATCATGTTTGCATGACAAAAAAAAAATGATGTTTTTGGCTTTCTTTTGATGTTTTAAGGTTGTGTGCAGGTGACAGTGGGTGCACCAACATGTGTGATGGGGAGGGCTGTGCGACATGACTGTTTTAACCAAATCAAAACCACAATTAACATGACTGCGTTTGGGAAGGACTTTTATTCTCCGAAATAAATCTTGACAGAATGCATGCCCATGAAGCATTTATGAGAACTTGGGCTCCTCATGCACAACGACAAAATAAATAAATACAGGAAAAAGCACGTCCAGTCGAAAGTGGAGACAAAGTGGCCAATTATGGTGCATCGATCACGTGGGTGGGAAACCCGGTAGAAAAAAAAAGTCCTCTTTTAATAGCGTCTCTGGTTGGAGGAAGGCGAGTCTTAAAAGTTTCTTCAGGATGGGCCAGCTCCCTTCAGACGCATCCAGAGCAGAGCGGCACCGGGTCATGGAGACTTGTACTTAAGTTACCAAGTACGTGTTTTTACGCCGTCCTCACCTTATATCGTCCAACAAGCCGTGACGCTCTGTTACTTTCTTTACAATGTATTTTCTCGATGATTTTCTAAATTGAGTGAGCTTGTTTGGTGCGTTTAAAAACTTCTTTCTCGAGTCTTGATTCGTTTGTGTCTTGTCAAAAGTATGCATTTGTTGGTGGCACACGAAAAAAAAATGACATTGCCACACTCGCCAAGTGTATTTCTCTCCGTGCGTAAAGGCGCAACTTTTACGCACGATCACTTAACCTTACCCCACCTCCTTTGCACTTCGCAGCCCATGTACGCGAAGGTGTCGCCGGCTCTTTTTCCCGCGGAGAGCACCCGCCCGCTCGCACACCGCCCGCACACCGCGCCGAGTGGACCGTGAGAGCGCACCTTTCCAAAGATGAACATCCAAGTTGTGCCCGAGAACAAGCTCTCGTCGGTGGCCCCGCTCAAACAATGCAATGTGGAAAAAAAGGAGGTCGAGCTCTTGTTGGTCAAGGACCAGAATGGCGTGCAGTACACCAGCTCGTCCATCGTTCCCGCGCCCAGCCGATACATGGGGCCGCCCGGGTCCAACTCCGAGGAGGAGCGGGAGTTGTGGGGCAAGAAAATTGACTTTCTGCTCTCAGTCATTGGCTTTGCCGTCGACTTGGCGAATGTTTGGAGATTCCCTTACCTGTGCTACAAAAATGGCGGGGGTGCGTACCATACTCTTTCAATGCGTGCAATTCATGAACAAAAAAATGATTTGGTCCAGAAATGTTCATTTTAGAATGATGTGTTTGCATGCACAGTGCATTAAAAAAAACGCATGAGAGCACCTGTCATCAAATGGAGGTGAGACCATTTGGCTTTGATGCACACTCTTTCAGTTTCAGTGAGCTAAAATGAATATATCTCGTCAGGAATGCAAGTGATATCATTCGACATCTTGATCAAGAAATAATGTGCTTTACAGTACTTTGTTTTGCCAGATACGGAATTTTTCAATTTCAGCAAGTTAACACTAACTTTTGTTCAGGGACGTAAGCGCATAATTAGAGTCTTGCATCTTAATACTACAATGTGTTGTGCATTTTTCTTTTTTTTTTTGGAAAACATGAACATTGGAAACAATCATGCATACTGTTTAGCACCAAGTGCTTACTACATTCTGGTGTAACGGCCCTTACAAACACTGTTTCCTAACCTTTATTGAGCTACAGCATTCATTTTACACTAGGAAAATCTCACAGCACACCATCCCCTCCCCCAAAAAAAAAAAAAAATCTGAAAAGGCATTCTGAAATCGTGACGATCGTGTCTCTATTCACTCACAAATTGACTAACTCGGTGTGAAATCTTGACTTCATTGAAAGTAAAGATATACAGTACTTGCAAGAAGCCATGACGTTTTTTTGCATGAAGAGCAACAGGTGGATGTGGAGAGTTATTCTACCTTCTGTTAGGATATGTCACTGGCATAGGTAGCTGAACGCAGATATCGGGTGAATCCGGAAATGCGCTCTGAACACACACCGCTTCAATTCGACTGTTCGGAAACTCAGAGAAATGTAAGAGTGCCCCCACCCCCCAAAAAAAGCAATGCCGGCATATGCTCTCGGCGCACCCAATGGGGACATGGTGGTGACACGGTCAGGCACTTGTGATGGAAACAGTTCAAGCACGAGATACTGATTGGTTTATAACATCAGCCGTGTTCAGAAATTAATGGGAGGGGAGCGCGCTATGGCTCTCATCGTGGCGTCAGGGCATCCGAGTGAATTTCTGAAAGCACCCAATTCCAAATCATTTTTGGACAAATTGACTGAAATCGGACATTTGAAACTGGACATTTCTTTAAAAAGTTCATTCTTTATTCTTGTAGTGCCCAAAGTATCAGACCACGAGTTCCATTCAAGATGGTTGTCCAGTGCAATGCCGAGATTTTCGTATTGCGTAACTAATTTCTTTGCTTGTATTGGTATTGAAAATAGAGTGTGACTTTTGGAACCATATTGTAAAGGAGACTGAAACTGATGCATGATCTCCCTCCCCAAGCTCTTGAGAAGGATCATGAGAGTTGTGTCACCCCCGTATTTAATTTCATGGGTGTTTTGTGAATTGCTGATGCTTGAATTTATAGTAATGGACATAAAACATTCTTGTGGAGGCTGTTATTCTCACAACAGATAGATATGAGCCAGCTGCAATCTTAGAACGAGGCTGTGGTTTCTCATGGCGATGGTGCAAAAGGTACATGTCAGAATTGCATTATCCACCGCCGATGGAGGAGCCTTGACAAGCAAATTCCAGGCGGGCCATAAGATTGTGAGTTTGGGATACGCTCCAAGCACTTCATGGCCAGTTATGTCGGCGCTAATCGTCAGAAGTCAATGAACTCGCTGGGTCTTGGCAGTTTTGGCACTGATGCAATTGTGGATGATTTACACAGGCGAGTGACTCCCTGGAGATTTAAAGAAAGGTGTTAATTATGTCAGTGAATGGAGCGGCCTACTGTTCTGCACACTGCTTATAGTATATTTTCACAGATTTTGCCAAGGCCTTCTCTGACAGCAATTAAAAATGGTGAAAGACATCTATCTGACTCTGTGTGGTGTTTAGGACAGATGAAGGGGTGGCAGCATGATTCCGCCTTGTTGCTCTTCTCAGAGTTCCTTATCTCCAGACGGGATCGAGGATGGTTTCCTTCTGTCCTTGTGTGGGACCCTGGTCATGGCCTTGATCCCCTGACATTTCTCACGGGAGTTGCCCCGACACCAAGGTTGCCTCAATCGTCTGTGTGTAGCTGTATTTATCCAGCTTGTAACTCTCCTTGTACTTTGCCTGTTCCTTTTGGTTGTGTCATCCTGATTCCAATATGCACATATATTTTAAAGATGCTTCAATTTGTTGGAGGGTAAGGGCTTGTCGTTTGAAAAGACTGGTGTTTTGGGTTTTTTTTTGGGGGGGCGGAGGGGGGGGGGTTATGTGTGTCTGACTGCGTCGTTCCAGTTTGTGTAGATAAAAGAAACCTGCAAGGCCATGATACTGTCATTATGCCATCCTTTAACTGCACACTCCTGGGGCTTGTTTTTTTTTTTTTTTTTCAGGAGCCTCTAAAACATTATCGTAAGAGATAAACCACATTATGGCCAGATGCCCCTGAGTGGCGAGAGCAATGTTGAAGAGAAGGTTGTCTTTTTTGACAGTTTTGTAGCATAAGTCGAAAAACAGTCTACAGAGTGATAACGTGCGCCAGAACATTTTCACAGGACAGTTATTCACTTCTGCGAAGATAAAATTCGGGGCATAGGAAACGGTGACTCAAGTTTTGAGGAAGAATTTCAAAATAGTAACCAGTGCCCTGTCAAAATTTGTCTTTGAAAGGTGTACATATTTGACAGGAAAAGATATCTCACGGAGCTCTCTGGGCAGATCGAAAGGCTAATGGGAGATGCGGAGAATTTCAGTATCAGGGATACGCAAACTCTCACCTCCATTGTCCAACACCACTTGTCCCGATTGAGTAGACAGACCCTAACCCCATTAGGCTTCTTTGCGATTGTTGTGTCCGGGTTAGTCCAGAAAAGCTGAAGGTGTCCCACCTCACTTGACAAGATGTTTTCCAATCATGTTTCTGTGCCACCATGCAGGCGCTCATGTACTTGTGACAGTCAGCTTGTTGGTTTTCATTTTGAGGGACTGGACATTGATGAGCAGTGGCACGGGCAGAGGAAGTTTAATTTTTTAGTTTTATCAGTGTTTAACAAAAAAATCCCCGTTAGATTCTCGGTTGCACTTTGTCGGGGTTGTTCATTTCTCTGGATTGGTCCTGAGATGGTTCGGTATACAGTTTACTATACAGCTGCAGGACCTGTAGAAGACGATTATGTCTTCGAAGGAGGAGTTATTATACACTGGATTTCACCAAACATGCCAATGTCATGGTCATGCTCATGTCAGTGGGTGTGACAAGTCTTTAAAACCACTAAGTAGGCCAACCGCGCACCAATAAGACAAGCGCGTGGTTGCCTTCAGTGTGGTGCAGTATTCGACACATCCTTACGAATACTATACCTCACTCATGATAAAGTACAAAAAAAGCAACAAGTGCTGCACGTGAGAGGCAAACAGATTCTTGCCTTCCAAGTCTAAGTCTTGTACTTCTGCTTAAAATGGGAACGTCCACATTTCAAATCACTTGGAAAATAAAGGATGAGGCTTACAACATGTTCTGTATCAATACAGGACAGTGTGATGGTTCGTGGAAAGTTTGGGATTGATTTTATGAGTTTGTAATGTTTGAAGGTCCCATAAAGCCGGTGGTTCACTCAGCAGGTTCGAGATAACAAACGGTGGACAGATTCACCTGAGGGATTTAACAGCTGCTTTTATTCAGGCTTATGTCTTATGTCTTGAAAGATTTTTAACCGGCAACATGTGCCTCCTTTTGAACACCGGGCTTTGTTTTGGTTGGCTTCAAATGCTCTGGAGGATTTGTTCCCCTGGGCTCCATGAGAGAGACAGCTTTACAACTCAGCTGTTTTCTTATACGAACATCCCCTTCTAGTGAAAGCAAAAAACTTTGTCTGGACAATAAAAGTTGAAATGGGGTTCCATGAAAGGTGGTTTGACACAGATAGATGGTGGATTTTCATGTTCTGGCAGAGAAAAAAAAAACACTTTGGAACTGATGTATGGATGGACAGACAAACTGATGGATGGTTGGAACTAGACGGACAGATTGGCTTTGGTTCTGGGTCACCAACCTGGTATCCAGAGGAACCAGGTTATGACCACCAGGACTACTTGAGTAACCTGACGGCCTGTTCTAAATATAGCTCACTTAGTCAGTGTGAGTGATGAGTGAAAATTGGAATTCATTGGTGAACCCTGAAGTAGATGCACAATAGTTTCAATCGATGGTCAGACAGACAGATGGATGAACGGTTGGACAGATAGTATGATGGATTTCTGAATAGAATGACAAAAAGAAGGCAAATTGGTCACATGATCAATTGATGTACGGGTAGACCTGGTCGATGGATGGACAGATGTCGTCGCTCCGCTACTGCACTGGCCTGCCAATCATATTAGCCCAGGGCAAAAAGCTATTTATTACTGTACATAATGTGTCGTTTGCAAAATGAGGGAAAATCCAATTACTGGAGATCATTTCCTCGTGCCGCGTGCCAGTCTTCCCTTCATGCGCGCATGCACGTGTTAGCGTTCCTCGAATGTCAAGATGGCCGCCTCTCTTCAACATAAAAGTCCTCAGGCTCGTTCTACCGTCAACCTGTTGCCTGTAATTATCATTAATGGTCTTGTTCCGTTAGTTACTTAATTCTATTGTCCACCAAATCACTGTGACATTTCCACATCGTTATGTCACACATCCACAGGGTGCTTACGCTCACTTGATTGTCTTGTTTTTTTCCCAAACGCAATTATTTCTCTTTTTCAGGAGCTTTTTTGATCCCCTACATTCTTTTCTTGGTCATCGCGGGGATGCCATTGTTCTACATGGAACTGGCTCTGGGCCAGTACACTAGGGAGGGGGCGGCCACCGTGTGGAAGATCTGCCCCATCTTTAAAGGTGAACTCTAATTTGCACCGCACACTGCTCACAAAAAAAAAAAAAACAACAACAACAAAAAACAATGTTGATGATACCAAACTTTGCCTTTTGAAAGATAATTTCAGTAACAGTAAAGTATACATTACTCCCTGATCAGAACACTGACCTCCGCCAATGTGGAAATATGATGATGGGCTGGGCTGGCTCGACTGTACCATATTATTCACTTTGAGAAAGGCAAAAGGTTCTACCGTGATGCATAAGAAAAAAAGTGAGAAATGAACGAAAGTGAAAAATTTGCAGTGCAACCTGTGTTTGTCCATCGTTTTCTCAGTCATCAGGTTACTTCCTGATTCATGGAAGATGGCAATAAGACAACAGGAGTGTCCCAAATTTTTCTCTTGAGAAAGGCGAAAGACTCTATCGAGCTTCCAATGGGAAAAAAAATTGTGGTGCAACATAATTATGTTAGTTCATAGTTGTTGTTTTTTTTCTCTCTCCACCATGTCAAGAACCGTCCACCTCTAGGGGAATTGATTTTACAGGGAATGAGAGGAGCCGTTTCCATTGGCGGCGAATCACTTAGGCTGTGTTCACAGCCACATTGGGTGCCGTTTTAAACTCCGCCAAGCTGTGTGAAAATACCAAAACAAAGTCTAGCCCGCCCCTGCGCAGATTGAGACTGTACTTTGTGCCGGACTTTTGCAGGTCATGGAAAATAGAGTCCCTAATGTCAAAGGAATATACAAGTAACAGTAAAAAGACAATAAATGCAATAAAATGTAATATTAATGCAGGTAAAACTGTAGTTATTGCATATATCCTTGCCCCACAGGCGTTGGCTACACAGTGATCGTCATCGCCCTTTACGTGGGCTTCTACTACAATGTCATCATCGCCTGGTCACTCCACTACCTGTTCTCCTCCATGACCCGCGAGCTGCCGTGGCTGAAATGTGACAACCCCTGGAACAGCCCCAACTGCACCAACCCCCAGGCCATCAATGGCTCGGTCTTGGGCAATGGTACCTCGTACGCCAAGTACAAGATCACCCCAGCAGCAGAGTATTACGAGTAAGTCCGTTTTTCGTACACCATTTTGAGTAGACCGAATTCATTCTTCTGAACGAGCTTGTTCATCAACAATTCAATTCTGTGTCCTTTCATTATGTCACTGTTTCATGGAGACCTCACTTGTATATATAACAAATGAAATTGTTTTTGCAAGCGTTTATAAAACTCAGACTGGCAACCTAGGAGTTGACATCGTTTTTTACTTGAATGACTAATCCCGAGTCACGAGTTTATTCAAGAACAATAAACACAGAACGGCTAGTGACATCACGTATGCACATAGTTTTGATATTCCAAGATAGCATAATGTCACGACATCAAAAGTGGCTTATATCTTATCCATTTTTACAGTCTCAGGCAAATTTTAATCGTCCCACAAATCTCTATTCAATGACATGCTCAATTTCAATATAGTGGTGGTTTGACTTTTTATTTTGTAACATACCCGCATGATGTAATGTATTTTGAGCTTAGGTTTTGGTACTTACTGTTTGTGGTACTGGTTTGTCTGCGGTGTGCATTTCTGATGTTCCTCACCATGGTCCAAGGAATGCTCAGCAAGTTTGTGTGATTGCTCAGACACATGGAAAATTAGAGGGGGCTTTGCTAAGTGTGCTGGTGCTGCCGTGATGGGAACTCAGTGGAAGTTCAACTTACACTGGTGACTCTCCAAGCCGATAGTTCTTTTAGCTCCACCCCAGCATTAAGTCCTCCAAGGGTATGCTAAATTTATGACAAAATACCGGTGACAAAGGAAATGTTTAGATTCAGATAAAGGTAGCAAAGATTAGTGCATTGAAAACACATCCCATACATATTTGATAGCTTGAAGCAACTTGATGTCAACTTCAGCGAGATACTTTCTGGTTGACCTTTTGAAAAGGTTACCGTTTTCACTCGTGGTGGTGGCATAACTAAACAAGTCTGACCCGATTACCAAAGACAGGATTCGTTTTCAGAGATTAGAGGGATTAGACACACTCGATTGACAAATAAATCAGCAATTGAATCATGCCAGTCAGATCGGATCGAATGTCTCATTCGTGTTTTCATGTAACTCCATTCAGCGTTTCATTTGAAGGTGCTCTTCTTGTTTCATTGCTCTTTTAATCACCGCCGAGACAAGCCTGCATACACCCGACTCACTGCCATCATCGGGGAGCGAGCACAGCAGCAGAACAAGCTCGCTGTTTAAGGGAAAATGTGCTTAGAGTAACTGGGCCAAAGGGACTTGGATTGATGTTACCAGCGAGCGTTTACAGGCTGCACGCTATCAAACGCTATCAGCTGGACAAGGAGGCCTAAGGGCACTGCAACACCGACACACAGCGTCCAGGTCAGAGCGTTGGCTGTACATTTTTCATTCCAAATGAGTCTGTGTCCTCCAGTGGCTATCTGGCTCCCAGAAGTCCCCCGAAAAAAACAAAAAACAAAAAAAAAACCCCTTTGAATATATTATCAGCCCTCAGATAAGGCCACATAAAAGTGGCCATTCGCAGATCCCTTTGCCTGGATGTGGTTCTGCTTTGCATGTCTTGTTTGTGCTTGGATGTTGTGTTGTGTTTCACCGTTTATCAGGACAGCATCACATGCCGCCTCAATTAAATCTAGAGGACAGGAAACAGACAGAAAAAGAGACTGAAGTCAAACACAGTCGGTCCTTGGTGCTTTACATTCTCATTTGGACCATCAGAAAGGGTCATTGTCGATGAGTGTCAAACTTTTTTTGGGGGTGGGGTACAAATTTTTCTTTACCGTACTTAAGTAGATTTTGCGGGGTATTTGTCCTCCACTTGATCCTTTATTCTTCAGATCACTTTTTATTTGTACTCCCTGTGCTTGAAAATATGGACCATAGCTTTCCTTTCTACTGGCTACTATATGAATTAATAGGCTTGTTACTTTTTTGATCCTCCACAGATGATGACATCATGCAAAAAAAAAAGTAAATCAAGAACGGTAGAATCACTGCAGTTGAGGTCTTTACTGATTGAATTATTAATTGATGATTGATTGGTCAGTGATTTGATTAATGACTGACAAGCGAAATGTAGACTACAATGACGCAACACCTTATAAAACATAAAATATGACATTTCTAATCCACGGCTTTATTTTTGAGAAATGTTGTCCTGCCGAAGACATTGGGCCCCGAAAATTCCGTTTCGTGCCACTGTGAATCCAGGCTTGCATTTTTGGGACGATATTGCACCTGTATGGAGTGTGACTGCGCATGAAGCAGCCTCGCCGACAACACACCTGATAGCTCGGTGGCAGAAAGTAGTCTGCGCTCGGAGTAAAAACATCATTTTTCTGCCGGGTCAATGGTCTAATTCAGTGTGTTTGTAATTTTGGTAGACACGCTTAGCCTCGCTGGCCATTTCTGCCTCACCCCCCAAGGAGGCACACATGGATGCACGAGCGCGGGGTGCAATTAAGGCGGTCCCCAATTGCACATCACACACACACATCATCTGAAAGGGGGCTACTGAAGTTTACGTTTTCATGCACGAACTCCAGTGAGTCTCATTTGCATGCATTCTGTACCGCCCTGATTTCGATGCAAATAAAATCCCATCCAGGGACACATGCTGCAAATTAGCTTTTGCTTTTAGCACTACGATGCACTCACAAGACAGTTGTGTGACAGTTTGTGTTTTTTTTTTTTTTTTTTTTTTAACTGTCCCTCTCAAATAAACAAATAAAATGATAGACGTCGCGAGAGTTGGTCCGGAAAACACAACCTTCCATCCCACAATACCGCAAACGCCACGTTTCCACCCATTTTCCCTGGCGCAAAGTCAAGCAACATACAAAAAGAAAGAGAAATCCCTTCCATGCGCACGATTAGACTGCGCTTTGCGCTAGACTTGCGCCAAGAACGAAAATAAGACCCATTGTCTTGTGCCAGCCGTGGAAAAAACACACACACACACACACACACACACACACACACACACACACACACACACACACACACACACACACACACACACACACACACACAATTAAATTTTGCCATTTTTTTCCCAACAAATAATACTTAACTGAGAGTAAAAAACTGTTTTGCCTTTGTACTTAAGTACAATTTAGGATTTCAGGGTATATATCATATATAGAAACAGAGAGAGAGAGAGAGAGAGAGAGAGAGAGAGAGAGAGAGAGAGAGAGAGAGAGAGAGAGAGCGAGTAGAGAACATGGAGGAGTGTATCGTATTGTCTGTTATAGCCAAAAATGCCAGCTTCTCCATTTTATAGGTTTCTACATTATGAGAAAAAAAAAGCATTTTGGGGGAAAAAATGGCTATAGAATTGAGTTGTAATTTAGATAGTGGCCCTGCAAAATTCACAGTCATGTTAAAAACTCAGCGTGAGACTCTAACTCTCCTTCAACCGTGAGCAGGTGATAGGTAGATAGGTATCCAAGTGTCTTTCCAAATTCTCTCAAATACTTTTGATGGAGGACAAGTCGCATGAAGCCATTCTCTGGCAATAATGACCTCACCAAAAAAAAAAAAAAAAGTCAAAGAAGATACATGTCATTGTAAAACATCCTACTTTGGTCATCTTCCCACAACCAACTCTTGGAGCAGACAGTCTATAATAAAGATACATATGTGCACCGCTGGCAAATAAACCCTTGTTTCAATACTTCTACGACAGTTATTGTCTGATATGAATCTATTTTTCTCAGCTGAATTCCATCACCTAACCCCCCACACTCCCACCCCCCCAACCCCTCCCACGGTGATCTACTATATTTCCTGCTGGAATTGTTATCACGGGCCAACCCCATGGACAAAACAGATTACCTGCCATTATATTCCAAGTATCTGCCATTTTTCTATGAAGTCCATATGTCCCATTTAACGTATTTATAGTGTGTTCAGATTAATATTCTGTCGTCGTTGCATACAAACTCAATAGCATACTGTCATGATGTATCTTGACAAAACTGGACAGTGTTATCACCCATCTCGTTTCAATTTCTATATCTCGCCATGTGTACATTCTTTCTTCTTGTTCAGCTTTCCAGCGACTCTCCAAACAGGAAATCTGGCACTTGCGCACGTGAGAAGTTAAAGAAGCCAAGAGGTGGTTTTGATAGCTTCCTTCTGGAAAGAATTTATACATGGATTTGGAATATGTCCCAGACAACTTTATGCCACGTCACGACATCTTGTGTCATATCTCATTCAAAATAAATAGGATTCTTCTCTGACATGGTCCAATGATACATGACAACTTGACGATTGGTGGAAAATTGCAAGCCTCTACTGATTTTGTATTTGACATTCGACGTCTTCGTCATTTTGTGCCGAGTCTCATTCAAAACCAGTTCTCACTTGACGGGGACAATTATTGCTGAAAGACTGGATTGCTTGATCGCAGTTCGTCCTGTGTGCATTTGTGCCAATGCAGACGCGGCGTGCTGCACCTCCACGAGAGCAGAGGCATCGAGGACCTGGGCCTCCCCCGCTTGGAGCTGTCGTTGTGCCTGGTGGTGGTGGTTTTCATCCTCTACTTCAGCCTGTGGAAAGGCGTCAAGTCCTCAGGGAAGGTGGGAGCCCGCCCACACCTTGCTCTTGCTCTACTAGCGCACGGTTCCGTTTCAAATGGGTCTGGTTTTCCCCTCAGGTGGTGTACATCACAGCCACCATGCCCTACGTGGTCCTCTTTGTGCTGCTCATTCGAGGAATCACGCTGCCGGGGTCCATGGATGGCATCCGGGCCTACCTGCACATCGACTTTAAGAGGCTCAACAATCTGGAGGTCAGCAAAAAGACACACCAGCTAAATGCACTAATTGAATACTAATGTCATTTTCCTACTGAGATCAGTTAGAATGTGTTTTTGTTGGAATTTTGTCGGATTTTGTTCTGCAGTTGTTGTTGAGACTTTAGGCTTATCTCGTCTTGGAATGACACAGTGACTCACTGGCATGATTTGTTTGACACCGTTTTTACACTTCCAGATGCAGCAGTCTGATTGTTTTCATTTTTTTTTTCCTATCCAGGCTGAGTTTAGGCCCCGGCCATTTGTCATCCATAGAAGTAGAATCATAATTTAACCATTCTTTCTCCCCTTAATGGAAAAGAAAACAATAAACCTTTTAAACAAAGGGTAGGCAATCTTTTGTATTCAATGACAAGAATGATTTTTTTTTTAAATGTACATTTGGGCCAGGTCATTTGTAGATGAGGTTAAAATAGTTGAAATATAAATGTAAAATACTTAATTTTAAGCAGAAAATACTGATTTTGACACTCTATCATGATTTAAGACAAATATAATTAAACAATTATTTCAGATTTTTATAGAAGATGAATAAAAAAAGTTCAAAAGGCATTTTATTGTACACATTAAAAAAAATAAAACAGCTGAATGAATGCAAGCTCTATTCTCACAGTCTTGATCATGTAAATGCTCGGCGGGCCGGTTTTGAAAAACAAAGTGGTTCGTACTTTGCCCCTCCCTGATTTATACGTGTTCTCCACATTAATGACAAATATTGTGATCAATGGTGACAAGCATGTGGCCTCTAGCCAGCCGACGGCTAATGTGAGAAGCTAACGGAGAAGTCTTCATCTTCATTCTGCTGGACATGTGCCCAAAGGGAACGTTTGGACTCAATACACCACGCCAGTCACTGAAGATTCAAATCAAACTCCTTTGTTCATATCTGGAGCAGCACTACACATTCCTCTAATTAGTAATTTTTTTTTCACATTTTGAAACTGTTCCCAGGGGTCCTAATAAAAGATTTGAGAGATTTTTCAGTCAAAATACAGAAACGCATAGAATCACCACACACTTAAGATCCGCTAAATCGGCTCAGCTTTGTTGCGATATTGAGCACATTTCTAACCCATCAAACACTTTCATCACCCCACCACTAGCACACCCCCCAAAAAAAAAAAAAATGTCGCGACTTTTGGATGCGTTATTAGGGTTGGGAAGAAATGAAATATTTCCGGTCAAATTCAAAAAAATTTTCAGTAAATATATGTTCAAATAGGGAATTTGGGAAATTTTCCACATTCTCAGCTTCCCATGGGAATTGAAGGAATGAACTGGAAATTGAGAGTAATTGAATGGAAGGCTATCACATTCAAGAAGAAATACAATTATATTGCTTCATCATAAGCAGACAAGCAGACATAAATCCAGTTTCCGAAATGGAAAATTCCCATCAGTTTGCAACTTAAGATGTCATTTGAGGTTTCAAGATACTCAGAGACGTCTTTCAGAGCAGGGGATCTTAATTCCTGGATGTCCAAACTGCAAATGAATGGCACATGAACAAAGCCACCACTGGCTAATTTAACCATACATAACCCCCCCACCCCCTTCCTTAAAAGTGCGGCAGACATGCAGACCGCTCCGTCATAGACACATTCTCCAAATCAGGCAGATAAAAGATTGACCGAGTGGTTAAATTTCACCCTTAATCGTTGAGCAGGCACTCCAGAGACCCGTACAAACAATTACATTTTCCATAATATGTCACTTTTTAGTCTTCAAAATGTGCAGCTAATCAACAGGTGGTCAAACACACATTTTACAAGCTTGAACAGAAAACTGTCAGGGAGCCTCGACACAGACTTGATTGTGCAATTGTTTCTTATTTGCACACAAGCTTCTTTCTCATTTACTTATGTAATGTCATTTGTGAATAGAGTCTGTCGAGACATTTTCTTTCTGTCTGACTTAATCAAAGTTGTTTGGTAATGAATCAGGACCTCGGGATAATACAAGCGTATTTCCAATTACATCGTGAAGATAACATCTCTTGCTAGCTGGGTTAACTTGAGGAAAAAAAAAGAATCTTGTGGGAATAAATAGAATTGACTTGTGGGACAACTTGATATTATGAATGTTCGTATTATGAAGGTTCATAAGCAGAAGAATAGTTGCGTGTTCATTTGGTCAAATTTAGAATGCTCTTGATTTTCTAGTTGGAAATAGTGGACATTTCATTTCAAAGTGGTATTTGGACATTTGATTCAAATCATCAAGTGTAAAGAGCAATTAACATGCACGGGGCAGATAAACGCATGTGGTTGGGAGGCCGTGTGGTGTAAATGTTCCAGAATTTGTTGTTCGCGTGGGTTTTCTGCGAGTAAGCTTCCACTTTTGCCCTAGCCATATTGTACTTAGCAGCTAGCACAGCGACGCCAGCAGTACTTTTATTGCTACTCGATCGCTATGTCTCTAAGAAGTTCCATTTTCAAGATGGCCATCATCGTTTACACCTTTGCCATGACCAGCACCTTCCTGCGGTAACGTTACAAAAAAACCCGAAAGGAAACTGTGGAGTTACAATAATTCTTTCGGTGTGCTTATTGAGGGGAAATGGCTTCTGAGGTGTATTTTCTTGGTGATTTTTTACTTTTTTTTTGGAATGGATTTTGTAAAACTGTGTTATTTATTTTATTGGCCGAACCAATAAAAAGCTGTCTTGGGTTGTTTTTGCCAACAGGTGTGGATCGATGCAGCCACGCAGATATTTTACTCCCTTGGAGCAGGATTCGGGGTGCTCATTGCCTTTGCTAGCTACAACAAATTTGACAATAACTGTTACAGGTAAGCGTCCTGTACACCTACATACTTCCTAAAGATCTTAAAGGCTCTGGGTTTGAATTTCGGCTCAGGTCATCCTGTCTGGAGTTTGTTTGTTCCACCCTGAGCTGGTTTGAGTCTTGACCGGGTTCCTCGTCTTCCTCCCATATGCCCAAAACATGAACATTAGGTTGATTGACACCTCTTAAATTACCCAAAAGTGTGAATATGAGTGTCAGTGGGTGTTTGCCAAATGTGTCCTGTGATTGACTGGCGACCGGCCTCTAACCCGATATCAACTCAATCTCAAAATAGCCGCATAATTAGTCGCATTTCACATTCAATTTTAACATCCTGGTTGAAATCTTGATTTGGATGGGGCTGATCCAATTTACACTGTCATGATGTCCGTGTAAGAAGTTAGAGGGGGCGACTTGTTCAGCAACGATTGTAAAATGAATTTGAAGTTGACTGCCCCTGTCAATTAGTACATTGGATCCATGCATGTGGCGCATGTAGGGGCCACATCACCAAACACAAATACACTCCTCCCCCACGTCGACAACTTGGCCGAGCGTTTCAGTACGCGGCACTTATCAGATGCCAAGATGGAAATGCTGTTCGCTAAGCCGAAAATGTGCATCCAAAAAAAGTAAATGCAGCTCTGCATACCTTTGGGATTTGACATAGTGTTACAGTTGTACTGCAGACGTACAACAAGCCATGGTCGGAAAAATCTGTTGGGGGGGTGGGGGTGGTATTATGACACTATATGAGCTATAAACATTTGCACATGGTGTCACAGGAGGGGAATTTCATTCTTGAGAGACTGATTTTTGAGAAGTGGGATTGACGTTCTTTACATGTTTAAGCCTGTGTCATGGGACCGTTAGACAGTTGCAGCTCCTGGAGTCCAATGTCTGCTGCCAGCTGCCCACCAAAACAGTTGACGAAGATAGAATTTTACGTTTCCAAAATACACCACGAGGACGCTTGAGTAGGGACACCTAACCAATAGAACGAGAGGCGATTCAAGAGAAGAAATGTCCAAACAGAATTTTTCGATGACATCGTTATGTGGACAGTGTCATTTGATATCGCAGATAAAAAAATGATATGAAGACTCGCTGGTCAAGTTTCAAGGGGGCGTTCGAAATAAGTAACCACTATTCACACTCTTGTCAGCGACAGATGTTGTGAAGTGAGTCTAATGCAGGACAGCGTCATCTTTGGCGAGGGAGATTTGACTGACTTACTAATACGCTATCTCAGTGTTTCGAAAACACTCATGGCAGCGGCGACAGCTCCAAGATGTCGCCAGCAAGCTCTCACCTGACGTCACAATAGAAGAAGAAAAAAAGGTGCTACTCCAATCATCTCTGAGGCTTACCGAGTGCGTCTGAGTCAAGAGTGTTGTGAAATTGCGCTTTGCTTTGAAACCGACTTAATATATACAACTGCAATGACAACGGATGATTTCCTGTGTCACTCGTGATGATCTCTCACCACACTGAACTGACTCACCCACTTGTTAACAAACAATATTGACAATAATGTGTTTTTTTTTTGTCTCTCCAGGGATGCTCTGTTGACCAGCACTGTGAACTGCGTCACCAGTTTCTTCTCAGGGTTTGCCATCTTCTCCGTGCTGGGCTACATGGCTTACAAACACGGAGTGAAAATAGAAGACGTGGCGACTGAGGGTGAATCAATACATCGTTTCCTCTCAATTGCATTTGTCACCAACAGTATAATCGGAGGGATGCGAATTAACGATGAACTTCCCGGAGCAGAAATTGGCTACATTGAACACTGATTGTGTGTTCAATGTAGCCAAAGAATCGCGAATTGCTATTTGGCTAATTTTTAGAATTCAGTAATGATCTACTTCGTGTTGGGCATGTGTCAAAATGCACAACTGATTTTTTTTTTTTTTTTAAGGGATTGTTTACATTTCCCTTGGAATGTTCTGAACTTCGTCTTCTATGCCAGGGTTTGTCATATGTTATGGAGTAGCTGTTCCTGGAGGTGGCTATTCTCATAAACGCCGTGACTTCTTTAAGCACCCCAAAAAAGTGACTAAATGATGCAAATTATTTTGCCGAGGCATAAATTACGACTTGCAGACCCCCGAAGCCCAGTATGAGAAAGAAAATGAACATCTGGATCCATACACCATGTCTTTACATGTTTGTTTGTGCGCACACAGGGGCAGGATTGGTATTCATCATCTACCCGGAGGCCATTTCTACCCTCCCGGGTTCCACGTTTTGGGCTATTGTGTTCTTCATCATGCTGCTAACGCTCGGCATTGACAGTTCGGTAAGTCACAAACTCAAACGTCACAGCTTCCAAAGGAATATGTCATCATATTTAAAATATCATATTTAAATAACAATTGAATTAGCCAAACGTTATTTATACAATGCTTTGAGCTATTGTCATATGACTTTTATTGATAAAACAATGAACAATAATTATTTTACAAATGGTGTGAGCTATTGCTAAAGATTTTAATACAAAAACAAATTCTCAATTCAAAATTAAATATGTTAAAATAAAAAAACAAAAACGCAAAAAGAACAAAAATATCATTCCATTTTGTTTCCCTCTTTTATTTGTGAGTGACAATCCACAACCCAATAAAAACTGACCCAGGATCTGTTCTTCATCCCTATAAAGTGCAGATGAAAGTCATGCAGCAATCCATCTGTGTGTGTTTTGTCCATCAGATGGGCGGCATGGAGGCCGTCATCACAGGCCTGACAGACGACTTCAAGATTCTCAAGAGGAACAGGAAGCTTTTCACCTTCGCCACAGCCTTTGGCACCTTCCTGTTCGCGCTGCTCTGTGTGACGAATGTGAGTATCACAAGGTTCGCCCATGATCTGGGCTTCACTACCTAAATAAACACGTGCTTGTCTTGTTTTTATAACAAGCTTTAATTGTTGCGATTACTGAGAGGGGAACTTCAAAAGTCAAGGCTTCAATTCAGACTCACAACCACAAACCACAAGCCTTGTTGCACACTCTAATTTGATGCTTATTCTTGAAGTCATACTACTGTTTCAAAACAATTTTTTATTTCGTTCATTTCGTAATTTGAAATCCTCACCCAGACTTGAACCACGATGGCCTGGGCTGACTTGAAACTCTAACCCTGTCTTGTAACTCAAGGGTAAAACCCTAACCATGTTTTAAAACTCTATTTTAAAACCCTAATCTTGTCCTTGAAGGCATATTTTCAATCCCTAGCCCAACAGTACATTGAAATCCTCTCTTGAAATTTTGACCCAGGTTGGAACACCAATAGTGAAGCCCTCACCCCAGTTAGAAACCCGAATTGAAAGCCCTCAGCCTGGCTTGAATCCCAAATCAAGTTTGGTAACCCTAATTTGAAACTCAAACTCTATTTTGAAACCCTCCTTTGAAATCCTGAGGGTTAAAAGGTGTATTTAAATTAAAAACCTGAACCCGAAATTAAAACCCTAACCCTGACTTTTTTTTAACCATTATCTGAGGAAATATATTCCCTAATTTTCAGACTACAAACCGCTTCTTTTTTTTCCACGATTTGGACCCTGCGACTTTAAATGTCACACGATTGATTAATTGATGGATTTTTCCTAACAAGCTTCCTGACGTCAAAATGTTGACCGACAGTCTCATCAAATCTGACCAATGAAATTGGCCAGACACTGTCTGAGGTCGCACTTATAACAAATCTTTGGCTAATAAAACGAAGCGGCCATTAGATATTTAAAAAAAAAAAAAAAAAAACTGAGGAGGCTACATGAGGAGGAGCCTTTGAAGGACCCAGCCTACAAATTTAGACTCAGCTCATGCCTTGTTTGTACACTATGAGCACCCAAAATGTCCATTTGTTTTTGTTTTTCTTTCCCCGCCCATCATCGAATCCTTAAATGAAGAATCAAAATTCAACATTGACCTATTCAGTCATCGATGATGCGTTAAGATCTGCTAGCGCGTATCAAAACACGGTGGAATAGCATCAAAGGTGTCGCTGCCTCCAAGGAACTCGTCATATCTCCTGCTGCCTGGAAACATCAAAGACGCTCCTTTAAATCGAGCGATCAAAAGCCGAAGTGAGATTAACCGATTAGCATGTCATGAAAAAGGCCTCCAGGATGCGAGATCTGCTCCCTTCTCCCCAACTTCTGCAAGCCTTCCCGATGGTAGCAAAATGAATTGTTTGCCTTCTGTTAAAGAAATTTGTAAAATGATTAGAAAAGTGGACTAATGTCCTCCGCCTGCTTCCTCCCTCACATGAGATTTGGAATGCGAGATACAGTACAAGTCAAAGAGCCTACTCACTAAAATGACCGCTGACATGCACCGCTGAGGACTCACTTATCCGCTGGTGAATAATTAAATCTTTCAAAGGGAGACCATCGAATCAACGTTTTGATTTCGCTATCAAACAAACAACAACAAAAAAACCCTAAAGACATGTCCTTGCCTCTTCAGGGGGGAATCTACGTGCTGACTCTGTTGGACAAGTACGCCGCCGGGACATCCATTCTTTTCGCCGTGCTGATTGAGGCCATCGGCGTGTCGTGGTTTTATGGTATGGAATTTCTGTGACCCCGTGTCCCCGCCTTTGAAACAACCTCACCACGTCCTCCGTCTTGTTAATTGAAACGTAACGATGGAAAAGCCGAGCGCAAGTGTCGATGGAAACAACAACAAAGCGTTTTGTCCTTTGAATGGAAGGTGACATGAAAGAGCCGCGTGAAATGCGTTTTACCTCCCATTGAGTAGACGTGATTGCGATGATTTGATGCCGGATGTCCATAACTGTAATGAATTACCGAGGATTTCAGAAACAGATGCGGCTTTTATTGGCGAACTTGGGTAGATTCTGTAATTAAATAACGATTCAATCTAATCAGCCTTTTTAAACCTGCTTCTTTTGCTGTTTTTCCAATTGGCTATTGGATTTGCCTAATCCGCTTTCTTTTTGCAGCATATTAGATTGGTCACCTTTGTGTGACCCTCCGGGTGTGGCCCGGCAGTACACATGCAAGGGCTTAATGGAGACCCTTCGTGGAGATTGGATAGGAAATTGCCATTTTCCATTGCCAGATAAGAAATCTGCGTTCTTTAATACGATTTGGGAATTCACTCAAAGTTCTTTTTCTCCGGATAGTTGAGTTTGACGAACACAGTGGATTGAAAAAGTTTTCCCAGATGGAAAAATGCAAGTCATTATTTTTTGGGGGGGATTATTCAAAGAAAATACTCAACTGTTCAAAAACATAAAGTATGGAGTAAATAAACAGTGTAAAAATTTCGAGTTTTTTATGCCTCGGATGATGACCGAAAATCGGTTCTCGAACAAACTGAGCGCATTTGAATGCGCCACTTGACTCCTCTCGCCTTCCTTACACGAGGAAGTGACGCTTCCTCGTGTAGCGTTCCATTGTGACCAGACGTGTTCAATAAAGATTTTTTTTTTTTTTTTAAAGAGCGTGGTTTCGGTTTTCAAACAAATCGGTTTTCGAACAGCCTTCTGGAACGGATTATGGTCGAAAACCAAGGTATGACTGTATTAGAATTGGCCAATAAAATTGTGTTTCTTATGAATTGGTGATTTTCTTCGAGATATCTGGCACAAGTCGGTCGGTGAGCATTGTCTTATGGGAGCACATGCAAGTTGGCTTGAAAAACGTATCGTCTTCTTTCAGGCGTGGACCGCTTCAGTGAAGATATTGAGCGGATGATGGGCTTCAAGCCAGGACTTTACTGGAGACTGTGCTGGAAGTTTGTCAGCCCTGCTTTTCTTTTGGTAAGGGAAATACCGTACACTGCATACAATGGATACACACACCTGTGTTACATACACGACATGTGGATATACAACACATGGAGTAGATGGACCTTGTTTAAACAGTGCTTCACATTTGACCACCGCCACCTCTTTGTTTCAGAGATCGTCCAACATCATAAGAATAAGAATAAGAAACCCGTTATTCATCTTACACTGGAGACATTAATTTACAGCAGCAAAGTTATGAAAGGAAGAAAGTAGAAGAACAAAAAGTATCGGAGCTGCTGTAAAAGCAGCCACTCTCATCACATCATGGAGCGCTTTCAGAAGGACTCTTTTCAGTTTCAGGGAGATCTTTTTTTACCTGCTGCTATATTGTACGGTGCAGCCAGAACTGGAGTACTGCTAAACGATTTTTGGTGTGCCCACATTTTTTTCCATTCATTCTGGTGTGGAAATCACAGCAAAACTCACACCAAAGGCAAAACATACTTGTGATGTTGATATTTTTTAAGATGACTTTTAGAATCTAAAGAACTGCGCCTCTCACTGGAAATATGGCTCCGGGTCACTTGTGACCCTCGTGAAGACAGGCGCTACAGAAAATGGATGGATGGAGGAATACTGAGAAATATTTAACCACCGTTTCATTTGTTAGCGCCCGTTGGAGTCACTTGACTGTTAGGATAAATGTCAGTGGTTCCTGACATTTTCACTGGTTGTCAAATGAAAAAGTTATGTCGGGCATAATATAATGAAAGCGTTGTAGCAGATGTTAAAAAAAAATGATGAAGCTCATCAGGTTACCTCCTTCAGTCATTGTCCAGAGATGAATGTCATGATGACTTGGCTTGAATGTTTTCGGTTTTGTGCTTTTAGGATCTCGAACCGAGTGGGCTCCAAAAGTTACGACCCCCACTCAAATGGCCAAGGACTTAAAAAAATAAATAAAATTAAAAAAAGGCTAGAATGCACTTTACAAGCATGGGTCTCTGGTGCAATGTCAATGTCCGATCTGAATTATTTTTTGAATCAGATGGCCAGAAATTCCCAGACATTCTTCAGCATTTTGTCAAAAGTTTTTACCTAAGAGTAGAAGTTGAAAATTTGGAAATTTATTTTTATTTATTTATTTTGGACCGCTCTCAAACATCCCCTTTTTTTTCTACTGAGAGGTCAGGAAAACTATCATTCAACATTGGAAGACAATCTCCATCCATGACTTTAAGATATCTTTAGTCACGCCGCACACTGAGTGACACGGACTAAACTATCGGAACTGTTGCGCAACTAGTTTTCATTCATTCCTGAACATGGGCCACTGTTTTTTTTTTTTTTTTGTTTGTTTTTTTTAGTTTTTTTTTTTTCATTTCCCTCACAGGAGTGTAACAGCAATTTATGCTTCAAATGTTTGTCATTTTCACTTAGTCTCACGGTCACCCACAACATCCAGGTGCCGCCTCATTGCTGCTTGCAGCTCTCAATTTGCCCTTTATTTTAACTTTTATCAGATGGCGATGGTGTACAGGTGATTTGGTCCATTCTCCAGCGGCCCGATGCGTCTCACACGAAACAAAATGCATTCCGTATGACATTCACGCTCCTCTTTGATATGAACAATGTCATTGGGAGCAAACCGTAGCCGACGCTAATGGACACGCCAGGAAGGCTCTTGCCAGCCATCCCATCTGTCGAATGTACTTAACACCTTGACAATGCCCAGGTCAACACACACCAACATGACAGCCGCCACCTCTGTCGCCAAGCCAACTTGCCTCAGGCTGACACAGCACGGCTCCAGCGCTTTCATAACTCATTTATCGGCCGCGTCCTTCGAAGGATCAAACTACTGGGAAACAAAAGCACTTAGTAGCAAGTGGACAGTTATTGAAGCACTGAGAAAAAGGATAATATCAACTTGGATACCTGAAACCTTAATCTTAGCGTGATGATTAGCGGAGCATAACGTCACGTCCAATTAGCGGCCAATATGGAGAACCCCACACAATCCAAAGTTTGGCTATAAAAGTGCACTAAATCAACATCGAGGTGTGTTATTCTAGCTTCTAGGTGCTTTTCTCATCCAAATTAATTACTAGCAATTCATGCACCAATTTGAGAGAGCCAATGAGAGCACACCTCACGAGCAGGTTTATTTATTTTGGACTCTCTATACTTTAAGATGAGTCATCAACCGCAGCGTCCCGTAAACATTTGGTAATCCAATTATATTTTTGATTGTTTCATTGTCATATGTAAGTGTATGACTAAAATCGATGTACAGTATTTGTATTTTCTTTTATTTGACTTTCCTTTACTCTGCTCTGAGCAGCCGTGTTGAAATTGCAAATGAGAATCTGTTTTCAATTGTCTTACGTGGGTAAATGAAGATGAAAGAAATACACAGCGACGATTTGTTGACGATTCCACTTTTGGCTCCCATACAGATTTGGAATGTGCGATTTAGGATATTATCAAAGCTCAACATGGCATATCATTTCCTGGAAGTACGAATTCTGGCTCTAGCTCAAACTTTGACTCTGCAACACACTTTGAAACCCATCTGGGATGGTTTGTGCTGCAAAGAGTACAATAAACGCTGAGATTTGAAGCATTTAGACATTTCGATTCTACTGATGGCAGCACTTTCAGTCTACCCTTAATTCTGCATTCCGCATTGACTCAAGTCTTTTTCTCCTTGTACTTCCCTTGGCAGTTTGTGGTGGTCGCCAGCACGGTGACCTCTTCGGGCCTCAAGTACGACGATTACGTCTTCCCCCATTGGTCCAACGTCTTGGGATGGGGCGTGGCCATGTCGTCGATGCTGTTTGTACCCGTCTACGCCGTGTACAAGTTCTGCAGCGTCCCTGGAACCTTCAGAGAGGTCAGTGAAACTCATTTGAGTAAGGTAAAGAGTAAGGGACTCATTTGAGGGCAGCCAATGTGATGTTTATAGATGCCAATTGTGACGGAACACATTACAAAAGAAGTTAGATAATGGCAGCTAGCGTAATTGCTGTTGTGGCTATGCTTTGAAGCTGGAAAGGGGATGTTTTCCCCTTAAAAACATGTCCAAAATAACCACTTCGCTTTCGGAATGAAGCCCACAAGAATTTACGATGGCAATCATCAAAGTACTGGAGGCTTGTTTTCATCCCTTCTGTGTCAACGTCACTCTGCCGTAACAGCGCCCGCATCCCGGTAATATCCTCATTGGCACTTCCTGTTGCACTCAAAGGTTGCTTCTCCGGTTGTCAGAGGTGTCATTTCCTCCCACTATCACCCGCTATCAGCTTTTAAATACATCCGCCGTTTGTGATAATGGGAGTGTTTGAAGATGGGAGCATCAAGCTTGCATTTGAAGGATTGATTGCATTCCTTTTCCACCAAGGCAAGGCAAAGAAGCTTTATATCTACAGCATATTTCATACACAAGGCAACTTGGTGTGATTAAAAAAAAAAAAGAAAGCTTCAGAAGTCTGTTTGGCCGTCAGTTTGATTTAATTTCAAATAAATCTTCTCCATGAGAAATAATGAAACGTATTAATTGCAATTTAGCGTTGTTTATTTTTGCATGGGTGGCCTGGTAGTCCAGTGGTTACCGCGTCGACCTCACAGTGCAGAAGTCATGGGTTTGATCCCGGCTCCTGCCTTCCTGTGTGCAGTTTGCATGGTCTCCCCGGGCCTGCGTGGGTTTTCTCCTGGTACTCTGGTTTCCTCCCACATTCCAAAAACATGTATGGCAGGCTGATTGAACACCCAAAATTGTCCCTAGGTGTGAGTGTGAGCGTAGATGGTTGTTCGTCTCTGCAAATGTGAATTGCCTCCCACTCTCATAGATCTTTGAGGGTGAGGTCATGGGAGGATGGCGGGCCACACCCCAAGTGTGTGTCCACTTTTGAGCGTCTCACAGTCAGTGATGCAGACGGATTCCTTGCAACGTGAGATTTTTTTTCACTGATGAGGATGGTCAAGATGGATGGCATAGTGGATGGTCGGTCGCTGGATTGCCACCATGTCCCAACGAGGCTGCAACGTGAGCAGGGAAGTTGCGGAGTCATGTTTTGAGCAGGAATCATAGGGCAAGAGCTGGTCGACCCTTTTCGGTGTGCAAATAACTTCAGAAAACTATGTGGAGTTTCTGCCTGATTACTTTCTTGCAAAATTAAGAACGGAACTTTGCGAAACAAAGTCATCTATTTGCATGACAATGCACCATCTTATGCTGCAAGAAATTCCCCTGCGTCATGAGCTGCTACGGGCATAAAAGGAGAGAAACTTGTGTGTCACCCCATCCTGCCCTGACAATCAACCCTATGGATATCCTTTGAAACATAAACAAAAGATCTATGATTGTACTTTGTAGTAGATCTATGGGGGTTGATTGTCTCCTTCATGCTCTTGGCCTTATTTTTTTTTCCCAAGCAAAAATCCATCATGGGGCGGCCCGGTAGTCCAGTGGTTAGCACGTCGACTTCACAGTGCAGAGGTACCGGGTTCGAATCCAGCTCCGGCCTCCCTGTGTGGAGTTTGCATGTTCTCCCCGGGCCTGCGTGGGTTTTCTCCGGGTACTCCGGTTTCCTCCCACATTCCAAAAACATGCATGGTAGGCTGATTGACTGCTCTAAATTGTCCCTAGGTGTGAATGTGAGCGTGGATGGTTGTTCGTCTCTGTGTGCCCTGCGATGGGCTGGCAACCGATTCAGGGTGTCCCCCGCCTACTGCCCGAAGACGGCTGGGATAGGCTCCAGCACCCCCCGCGACCCTAGTGAGGATCAAGCGGTTCGGAAAATGAATGAATGAATGAAAAAATCCATCATTAACTTTGTTTTTTTTTTTTCATCATAAAAAGTCACATTTTTACATTCATACAAGGATAAAGCATTTTTTTAAAACTTGACAAAAAAAATGCTTTTTTGAATTTACTCAGATTTATTTCCTCAAGTGGTTGCACGAACGAGAATCATCAGTGTCCAAGTACCGTATTTTATAAGGTACTTCAGAGTATAAGGCACACCTTCAATGAATGGCTTGTTTTAAAACTTTTCATATATAGGGCGCACCACATTATGAATCACCGAAGCCACAATAGTGGCTGCGGTTGCAGTATGTGTCCACTAGATGGAGCTACGCTAAGGAAATACAAAACAATACAGCTTTATTTATGTAGAGTCTGTGATTCTTAATTTATAGTATGACTTGTTTCTAAAAAAAAAAAAGGGGGGGGTTAAAGATAGCTACATAGTAGATAGAATGTTTTGTTGTTTTTATGGTTTACAGTGGTTAACCTCTTTCTTTTTTGTTGTATTATTTATGAAAAACAGAAATAGCAGTGAATATAATTTTACACTTGGATAAGAATGTTCCAATTTTGATCTCATTGTTGAACAGCCTCCTGAGTTCCAAGAGGTTTCACTGTGTACTATATACTGTACATGCTGTGATTGTTGACAACCATGTCATCGGATTGTTTTGCAGAAAATAGCCTATTGCATCACTCCTGAACACGAGCATCACTTAGTGGCCGAGGGAAACATACGGCAGTTTAAAGTAAGTTGGGTTTTTTTTGTTTTTTGCCAAAAAGTGGCTGCTGTTCTTTCCAATATTCTTGCAAACATGACCAACATTTTCTGTTTTCTTTTTCTCATCTCTCAGCTCAGGCACTGGTTGGCTATCTGATGAATACTCCCAAGAATCTTTCAGCAATTATCGCCATTCCCAAGACATGACGGGTTTTTTTTATTTTTTTAAACCCTGTTGCATCACTCTTGTTACTTAGCAAGGCTTTTTTGGGGGGGCAAGTACTTGATATCAAATTAGTCCGCAAGTCGTTTCACATCATTAGATACATGTACCAGTAGACGATGTTTCGTATTTGCATTCATTTGACTTCAGCAACGTCGACTGTTATCTCCCGCAAGGCACTGAATCAAAACCAAAAGTTGACACGCGACAGACTTATTTGTTACCTTTTTTGGCCTTATGAATGTTATTGTTGTTCTTATTTAAATGATCATATTTGCTAGATTGTTTGTTTGTTTGTTTTGGCTTATCTGTGCCTTAATCGAGCGAGACACTCCGTTTATTTTCTGTAGTACTTTTCGGGGAGCGGTTAAAAAAAAATTGTCAAAATGAACCTTATTGACTCAGGAAGCCGCAGCACCCACACACACACACACACACACACACACACACACACACACACATATATATATATATATATATATATATATATATGAAAAACAGGTCACCAAGGGAAAACAAAATATCCATGCAAAACTCCAAAGAGAAAAAATAAATATGCTGAATGTGAGGTGAAATTTCAGTGAAACTGTATCAAGGTCTTTGCAATGAAGGAGTCATAAGGCCACTCTGAAAAAACAAACAAGTATATATATGCATATATATTTAAGCTAGAGGAATAAAATTGACATTTATGAGAAAATACAAGATCTTGTCGACATGTTATGAGGAAAAAAAGTCATATTTTGTGAATGTCTTCATCAATATAACTTTATTCTCTCGAACTTTTTTTCTCTGAAAAATGAACTTGTTCACACTATATTATCAATTTAAATCATCTTTTTTTGCTTTCTTTTCTGATTAAAAAAAAAGACATATAATCTTGAAAATAAAATATAGTTTTATTCTCCAGAAATCGATCATATTGTCATAATTAAAATATTCTTGTATTTTTAAATCCACCACTGCGCACCTGCTTGCCTGCGTGTGCAAAACTGTGCGGAGGCGCAGGCCTCCGCGCAGTTTTAAAACCGTGTCTCGCACTAGATTTGTTCAGGGTGCAAAAATAGAGCCCTGAGTCTTGCAGAAGTACGTTATTTTCTTAACATTACGGTGACTAGTTTCTTCAAAAATATATTTTTTTTTATTCTCGTAAAAATCAACCTATTTACTTTGAAAAAGTACAAATTCGCTCTCAGCTGATTCGCAAATAAAAATTGCCATTGCAATATTGTGACTTTATTCTTGTCACATATTTTGGGGGGATTTTCAGGGTGGTCCTAACACTCCTTTGCACTTTTTGTAACGTTTGCTTCGTGTCGTCCAGTGCCTCTAAGGCGTAATAAGAGAGATGTGATTGTGTGTGTTGGGCTTTTTAAGTTTCCGTCAAGCAGGATTTACCCGAAACAGACCCGACCTTACGTAAATACGCACGTATCGCCGTAACATCAATATCCATGAATCCTTAATCAGCATGAATCGAAAAAAATGTGTGTTGATTAATAAAATTGTCCAACAACAACCCAAATAAAGGCCTGTTTCGGGCCCCTCATCTGCAGGTTGGGAACACTGTTATAAAATATGCTGGAATGTCACATGCATCTTAATTTTTTATTTTCTTCCTAGTTGCCATACAAGTGCCATGAAGAAAATTCAGCTCCATTATGTTTTTTTTTTAATGTTAATTCATTTTTTTAAATTGACTGGTCAACTTTACGGAAAGTGAAACCACAAGGGATCTATATATATATATATATATATATATACACACACACACACACACACACACACACACACACACACACACACACACACACACAGTGTGTGTGTGTGCGTGCGTGAAGTACATATAGGATAGAATATAAAAATCTATATTCTTTTGTTATATCTAATCTTGTATTTATCAAACTGTTTATAACAAAATGTGAATGTAAAGTATTCAAATGTCCTAAATGTCATATCATGTGTGTTTGATGTGTAGCAAATATTAAAATAATCCAAACTATTCTACAGCGTAATCCTGGCCTACGGAATATTGGACTTTCCTGGACTATGTTTACAAAAATACTGTATCGTGTCTAACACTACAAATATCCTATAATGTCCTGTTCAACGTGAGTGGCAAATATCTATGAGGATGTAGTCACACTATGATAATAAAGTATTTCTTCTAGACTTACTTTCATGCTATCTGCCTTCATTGGTACATCGCCACACGGTCTTCTCGCAGATCTGTCTCCGGGTGTAATATTTGTACAGTATATGTCTCTGTGCTAACCAACAGTACGTTCTGGTATCCTTTCCACATCTCTTGCAGTACTGGCCTCTGTCCCAGTATTCCCCATTACTTTAATGGATGTATAGAGTGAGAAAGAAAAAAATGTATTGGCAATCTGAAACTTGAGTCACTTGAGGTTGTTTTTATACTTGGTAAAACTCAAGTGCAACAGGACCTTCCTTGAGTGGGTTTTGTTGTGTTGCTGAGTGGGGGCCTTTCATAACGGCTGACTCTGCTGGGCCTCTCTTTTTTCAGCCTGCTGCACTGCAATGTGGGCTGTCATCAGAGTGACCTTTTTGCTACACCGATTTGGCTAACAATGTCCACTCCTGCATATTTGGTCTTGGCTCAGCTTTGTGTCCTCATATGAGGTGAAAGTAAGTGTTACCACAAGTATAAGATACACACAGGGGGATATCTATCTATCTATCTATCTATCTATCTATCTATCTATCTATCTATCTATCTATCTATCTATCTATCTATCTATCTATCTATCTATCTATCTGTCTGTCTGTCTGTCTGTTTTTTTTCAGTTTGAACATTATGTGTTCTTGTAATGCATTCAAGAGAGAGCGTATAACGTGCTTTTAACGTATGATGCATCAGTGAATCATTAGGGGAATAAAGACTTTCAGTTGTTTGATTTGACTCATTCATTCAAGGTTGCAACTTGTGATACCTCATGAAAAGTCATATTTTTCAAGAACAAACTCCTAGTAACAGAATAAAAGTCCTAATGAGGATAAGTTCATGGATTTTGTAACAATAGAGTGCAGTCAGTGAATAGTGTTACTGTTGCCGGCAATGAGGGGCACTTGAGTTTTACGAAATATAAAAAACAAGCTAAAGTGACTCGGATTCAGGTTGCTGAATTTAAATGTTAAACTGTCAAAATCACCCCCCCCCCACGCCACCCCTGCCTAAAACAAAATGGATCTTTGACAAAACAAACTAGCACTTGAAAAACAAATAATTCAAAGCAACTAAAAACATAACCTCAGAAGCAAAAAAAAAATAATTGAAGACAAATAAATGAAACAGTTGTAAGTGTACGTAAGCAGCAGAATTTTCAAGACTTTTTTTTCACAGATCAAGAAATACAGAATGCTTATCCATGTTGAAACTTTAAAGCCTCCTGACTGGTCAAACGTTTTTCTTTTTGTCACCGTTGGGCTTCTCAAAGGTCAAAACAGCTCCAACTTTAGCCAAACGTGTTCAGCCGATCGAAGTTGATGTGCAGCCAGTCTTTCTTGGCAGCCCTGTGCAGCTGTAATGTGATTGGGCCAAAACAAGGTCATTCTTTAACATCTTTTCTTGATTGGGACAACTTGTCCCATGCGCTTGATCCAATCGTCAGTTGTGAACGCCTTATGCTGGTTGCTGTGTTAGCAAAACTCCAACTCGGTGAGCATCTCATCGATTGTACCAGTGATGACAAACTGAAACGTACTTACAATACTATACTATACTATACAATAGAGGAGTCATCTTATTTTTACACTCTAGCAAAGGGATGTCAAACACATTTTCATCACGGGCCACATTTTAGTTACCATTTCCCTTGGAAGGCCAATATGACTGAAATCATATCAAGAAGTCAAGAATAACAGTTTATTCAACTATTGTTTAAGTTACTGAAATTATCTGTTTGGCCACAAGAAAATGCTTCCAGTGTCTTTCTTATTTATTACATTTGAGGATTTGACATTTTGGTACATATTTTAGCAAGCATCATGGAAGTTGCCATGTTTGATTTGCTTTCGCGGGCCACATAAAATGATGTGGCGGGCCAGATCTGGCCCCCGGGCCTTCACTTTGATACCTGTGCTCTAGCACAACCATAAAAAAGGGGGGAAAAAAAGCAAAATGATTCTGAAAATAAAGCCGGTGCAGTGAATAAAAAGAGTAATCAATAAATAATATCAGGCACATATTGTTTACGTCAATAAATAATGAAATTAAGTAATAACTTCCGCCAGGAAAAATCCTTTGCTCCTCTTCTATTTATATATTCATGTAAGTACAGTACAGTTTTGATAAAACTGATACAGTGAGGGCAAAATCATTGGCATGCTTTTATAACTCATTTTGACACTTTAAACAAACAAACACAAAAAAAAAAAGGAAAAAGTACAAAAGGTACATGAAAAAAGTGAGGCACCAACTAAACTCAACTAATCTCTTTTCTTTTTTTTGCTGTTCTATCAAGACTATTGATTGAAAACCCTTGCTACTCAGTACAAAATCCATCCCAGTGTTTACAAAATAGCCCTCACTACTTGCTTTCACTTCACTTCCAATAATCATGAGTACTCCATGTGTTTATTGCGATAAATGATAACATCTTGGCAGCCCCAGAAGCGCTTGGCTTAAGGGCATAATAGCACCTTTGGGACACTTTGTGTATGAATGGCCTTCGGCACCCTCCATGATACACTTCCTGTTTCCGCAGCCCCTCCCACACAAACACACCACCAATGAGGATCAGACTCCTGTATGTACTCGAAACACCGTGAGTTTAACCGCTTCTACCACCCTCATTTCATACCCTTTATTGACATAAGTAAAAAAAAGTAGGGCACGTTTCCTGTCTTGGAGACATAAATCTAATGGACGCCATATTCTGAGGGCAATAAAAGATGCGACCATATGGTAAAGTCTTATCGCAGCTCCCTTTTGACCTCGGGTGGAGTAAATTCATTTGCAGAAAAATAGGAAACATGCACAGCAAAACAATGTAGCTGGTGGGCATTGTCACCTGAATCCAATGTAAGATTGAGAAAGTGGACGGCATACAGTACAGTACATGGAGAACCCGAGGTACTAATAGTGTACTTTGTTGGTGTACCCAAGTACATTTGTGGTTAGCTCTACTAGAGTTTGTTTTTCTGAAGATTTTTTTTGTTTGTTTCCTTTGTAACCGGCAAAGAGTCAGCTGCGATCTGAGTACATTTGTCCAGCTGTCCTTTCCAGTCATTATCTGATCTGATCTCACCGTAATTTGAACAGCACAACAGATTGGTTGTGAAGTAACTCAGTAAAATGAATAATCCCCAGCCTCATCATGTTTCGCAATTATATGAAACCAGTCTCAGATTTTTGCGGAAAATTTTACCGACACACACGTTTTTGTACTGTACACCCTGAGATGCCCACAGGATGACAAACTCCTGGTTAATAGGAAAGTAGTAATTAGTGTGCATATTTTTGCTTTGTTTGAGTGACGAAAAAGCAGGCATCTGTTCAACTTTTTTTATTGCTAGGATAATATTGTAAGATTAGTTTGAAATACGTTTTTAAGTGTTTTTAAAACTTTGGGTCAAGTATTGAATTGGGACAAGGTTTTTCACGTCAGGTATCTTTACGCCGTTTTGTTGATGTCTTCAAAAGGCAATATCATCAAAGGCACTTTTAAGGGTACCATTTCACCACAATAGGGCGGCACGGTCGTCAACTGGGTAGCACATCCGCCTCACAGTGCAGGGGTGCAGAGTTTGATTCTGGCTCCGGCCTTCCTACGTGGAGTTTGTTTGCTGAGTTGGTTCTAACGCTGAAGTTTTGTACCACTTTGTAGTTGTATTTTCCCAGGGTCATTAGAAAAATACAGCCTGTTCTTTGGTTTTGCATAAAAGCCGCCACAAGCAGCCATTGTGTGACCATTGCAAACAGTCTTGTGGCAGCCATGTCAAGCTATTGATGGCAGCCAAACTTAATTGGATTGTCTTAAGCCCCCTCAGGCTCAGTAGAAAATCCAAATCAATGTCATTGGCCGACAGAAGCAATTGGAGCTTAGGCTTCACTCCCAATTCGAGTCATGAAGTTGCATTCATTTGTTCTTATGACTGTTTGAATAGCAGACATGGGCGACTGTGGTAAAATGATGCATTGTCTGGAAAATGCTGGTTCAACAATTATTTGATGTTACATTTCCGCCCAACATAAGAGGTAATTAGGAGTGACAGTTTGACTAGTAGTGCTTTGTAAAGTATGTATTTAATGTCACAAATATTTTGTAGAAGCATAAAACATGTCTTTTTTTAACCAAAACACACATAATTTATAATTAAATAGGTACATCTGTCATATCTCACCAGACCTAATACAACAAATAATATGACTTTTACAAAGTTAATAAAGCTTATTTTTGACTGAGAGGCCACAATTTGTTCCATTATTGTTGTTTGAGAGCTGCACTGCATCATAATGCTAACTGTTTCATTTTGTTTTCTTTGTTATCCGAACTCTTTTGTAGGAACCCATTACATGTCATTGTGCCTAATTTTTTTTGGGCTGCAGCTCTGTCATCGTAAGTCTGACCTCGAGTGGTCATAATCAAGCGGTAAAATTGGCAGCACTGAGCACAAGTGAGGCGATTCAACGTCGACATCTAGTGGTTGACAACATTAGTTACAAGTCAGAAGTTTTCAATACCGGTATTTTTCTGACGGCGGAAGCAGCACAATTTGTTTTTAACTATAGTGGCTATAACGTCAAAACGTCTTGGTTCCCCTTCAAGAGCAAATAAGTGTTGCTTAAGTCTTCTAACCTTCGTAATTAAAAAAAAAATATCATGTATTTTTATTTATAATTATCACAAGCCGTCATATTAGTAAAAACACAATGCGCCAACTACGCACTCATGGGAAGAATGAAAACCACATCTGGCTTTGGCTTTCTCTGTGCTATGTCAGTTTGAGATCATACCTCTGTCATCGTTCTGTTAACACACAGGGATCCAAATTTCTAGTATTTTTAATCAAGGTTTGTACTGTATTTACTGTAAACATAAAAACAGTGATTTCCATGTCAACCCCCCCCCCCAAAAAAAACAAACAAACAAACACTCATTTCATTGAGTGGCTAGAGGTAGAGAAAACAACTCATTCTACATTGTGTCTGGATCATTCCATAGTTGGTAACATGGTCCACTACTAAATTGTCGCTGTGATGTAATTCTATTTCTCAACTCCTTCCACCTTCACCTTCTTGTCCTCTTCTCCCTCATGCTTCTTCACCTCCACGTGTTCTTCCTTGGCTTCCTCACCTCACTCTTCTCACTCTAGCTGCTCTCTCGACATCGACACCTGCGGTAGTACTTGCAGGCTGATTGCAAAGTACACTTATTATTTAAAACAGTTTTCTGTGACAGTGCGACCAGACGTGTTGGCACAGCAGTGTAAATAATATCCGCACACTTGTATAGTTTTGCAAGGAGAGTGTTGATCATCTGGAAATTGGATGTAAAGCGTTTTCTGGAAAAAAAAAAGACGGAAATATGACTTAGGCTATTATTTTAGAAAGGTGACGCTTTACATCGTTTGTGTTGTCACCGACGTGTACAAACTGGGTGTCCTCTGTCATAAAGGCAGTCATATTCCATGTAAATTGATAAATCGAAACTGGGCACCGAAATCCATCCTCAATCGGACTGTGTTCCAAAGGCCATTTCTCTTGCGATTCCAACAATAAAAGTAAAAGAGCTCATAAAGTGCCATCCAAAAAGAGTCGTTAGCAAGCTCTTTGATGGCTGTCTTAAAAGACGTTCTGCTTAGATCGACCGCTTTTATGGTTTTAGGACTATTCTTGGAGTGCGGGGGCAGAGAGTTAATGGTTGTGCAAACATCCGCAAACTTTCAGTTTGTAGGTACAACTCTCATTGATTCTGGCGTATTTTCCAGACTGCCACGTAGCAGTCAAAAGATCCACAGAGCAGGGACTGTCCGGACCCTTGAACACACAACGTAAACTCTGTCGGCTCAAATCAGTCAAAAGACCCACAGAGCAGGGACTGTCCGAACCCTTGAACACACAACGTAAACTCTGTCGGCTCAAATCGGGATGCGCACACAAGCCAAGCGGGGGTTACCCTTAACTTTGCAAGGAGAGGATGACTTCACATAACCCAATCCGATTTGGGACACTCCTTCTCTTTCTGCTTCTTTCCCAGTAAAAACTCCACCTCAGGAAGGGGGGCGGCCTGTCCGTGGGCGTGGAGTACAAGCATACGCGGTCCGGGGGAAATGAGCCCAGGGTAGTGGAATGTAGTTGCCATTCGTGGGAAGAGGAGCTAACAGTTAGCCTGCTAAACCTAGCCGGAGTTGGGGGATGAAAACATGCCTCACTTTACGGTGGTACCCGTGAGGGATAGAGCCCTGTCTGGCTATGACAGTCTGGAGGGGATCAACTCGGTGGACCACGGGGACGGTGGACCACCGGATAATCAAGACACCGTCAGCTCTGACGGTAAGCCGCACAACTTTGTCAAAGTTTGGAATTAGTGGTGATACTTTGGAAGCGAGATTAGCTCATCGTGGCGAGCCCGTCTCCTGAACAGCTGGTTGGGCGGTTACCATGGCGATTATACCGCGGCCACTAACCAGTTTTTCAAGCTCCCGTCTGTTTGCAAATCGCTAGAAAAAGTTTTTCAAAAGTAGGTTCAACCCAGACGCAGTGGGAAAGGGGTGAGAACTACACAACTGGGGTGTGCTGATAGAGCACCACAAAAAGGCCTCAAGAGGCGGCTGGTACAAAAGATGGTGCTCTTGTTTTTGTGCCGAGGGAGGATTTGCTTTTACCAAAATGGGCTGCAGCGCATTTCTGCCCCAGCTTGTCACTCACGTGTTTCTACCGTGTTCACACAAGAAAGAAGAACAAAGCAAAGAGACGGAGCAAGGCAAGAGGAGTATGATTATGTGGTATTTTTACATGGGCTCGAGGAAAGAAAAACGTGATGGAATAAAAGACTCACATTGGGTGCGGTCTTTGAAATGAACCTGACAGAACCAAAGGCCACACTTTGTACAAACCCACAGACTATCTGCCTGCTTTTTAAATTTTATTTAAAAGTGAATTGAATGCATACTGATACAGCCTAAAGACTCACTTGAAAAATATCACAAATAAATTCATCTGAACACTTCTTCTAGTTCTTCTGAAATTTACACAGATTTCTTTTGGGTACAATTGTGGAACTTTCTATTATTTTACTTGGAATGGATTTTAAAACACATTGCATTGCATGAAGAAGGGATAGCAGAGAGCTAGTACACAGCATTTTAAAGGCAATTGCAGGGTTCAACGACATTTGCAGTGGCTGGGGGTGGGAGTGGGGGGTCAATACGTAACTCTGTTGGGTCACCCAAAGTTCAGTGACGCTGGCCTGTCTAGTCCAGTGCACATTTCTTATATAAATATGATGAAAGCAGCACATTCTTGCTTTTGGAATATTTATTAGTTGATAATTGGATCATACTTTTATTTTGTAAAAGAAATAAAGGCCCCAAAATGTAAAATGTTACATATTCAGTTTCTTTTTATACTGCAGAAAATATCTATACCATCCAAAAACAATCAATAGAAGTAATATTGTCTAACAGGGACAGTGTGTAAAAATATATTGGGGTTTTTTTCAGTGTTCATTATTTATAAAATACACTATTAACCTCAGTAATATGCAAAAAAAATGTTTTATCACATCGACGTAGTTTAAAAAAAATGTAACTGTAGGTGAGGTAATCTGTGATTACATTGGGCGCACCTCCCCAACAGGATGCTGCCATGCTTTGCCGCCATCTTTCTGCTACGGATACCCGAAGGAGACAAACTTAGTGAAAGTAGTTCTTCAACATCATGACTGAGCAAGTGCAACAAATGCAATCCACTTATTTCATCACTTGAGGGAACACAAGAATTTGTTTCTGATGATAAAGGCTGAATGGACCCTGGCTATTCGATTGCAACGTTTGCAACGCAGCACGCCAATTCAGTTGAAATGTGACTGCATAAGATCTTGGGTCGACTTTTCCCGTGCGCAGTGAGCTTCCTGAAGCACTGACATCCCAGTCTGCATTCAGCTGCCATGACATGCTGTCAAAAAAGGAAGTGAGACTGCGGTGAATGAGGAGAACAGGCGCATGCTATAATAAGGCCTTGTAAACAGTTTACGACATGGCCATGGAGATGTACTCGAACAATGTCATCAGTGCAAAAGATGTGGCGGAGGACCTTCTCGGTTCATTGTGTGCTGATTGCAGTTGCTGTCATCGTTTTTGTGCTTGACATTTGTGTTTGCCTGCGGAGTTGCATTTTGCTTAATTTTAACTGTAGGTCATTGCAGAAAGATTTGTGTTCTCACGAGTGTTAAGTAGGAATATACGTGTGAATGTGAATGGCTGTTTGTCTATCCGTGCCCCGTGATTGACTTCTGAAAAGTCCGAGGTGTACATGCCTGTTGCTCAAAGTCAGCTGGGATATGCTCACCTACGACCCTAAAATGGACAAGCTGTGTATAAAATGGATGGATGGATAGAAAGTAAATGACGCATTTGTGCCTGAAGTCATTTTCTGTTCTATTGTGGGAATGGTGATCTTATACACGTAACCCGGGAGGAACTGACACAGTTTAACGTCATCCTCAGCCTATGAAAACAGCTCTGTTCGGTCCAGAAACAGGCCCCCGCCCATAACACTGCGATCATTGTGGTAGAGCCAAAAGAGCACTCTCATACATTCACCACATTGGGCGGACAGTTTACAGTTGCGCAATGTGACCGTTGGCAACCTCTGCCCATGCTTTCCTACTCCGTTAGGTTTAACATGACACGCGTGTTGAGCCTTGGATTCCTGTGTTGTGATGACCGCGTAGAAGCATACCGAGGTCATTGGATCACGCTAAGTCCACCTGTTGCTCATCATTATCGCAGATCAGCGCTAATATGTTTTGCTGTGCATCTCAGCAGGTTCGCATTCTTCAGATGTTGTTCTGCATGGAAGACATCCAATGAGGCTGCATTAGCTTGTGGCTAAAGCTACAGCATTTGTTACATGAAGAAAGGGTAACAAATGAACGCAGGTGCTTGGTTTATACACCTATAGAGTAAAATAGTTATAAAGATAAAATTCTTATTTTTTGTAAACTGTATTTAACCATATAGTTGCTGGGGATGTTTATGTACTGCCCTGTAGGATGAGCTTGACATGTATGAGGGATATGGCAGGGGTGCCCAACCAATCGATCACGATACTGAACCCTGAGCGTCCTATCAGTTTCACTTTCACCAAAAAAGTATTAAAAAAAAATAAACTAAAATAAAAAGGCATGTCACCGGACGTTGTTAGCAGTCAGCAGTCTGCAATTGCAGCTTGCGATCAAAGCTGTTGCCATATCTCATTTGTTTCATCTGCAGCCGTTTAACAAATCAGTGAATCATCATGTTCATCAAAAAGACAGAAAGAAAGGTCTCTGTTTAGAATTATCTGTCATTGTGCTCAGTGAAATTAAAAAGTGGTATCTGTACTTGGTATCGGTATCGATGAGTACTAGAGAGTGACAACACATACCGGTATCATCCTGAAAAAAAATGTGGTATCTACCATCACTTGTTAATTGTCACACAAAAAGGCGTTTGCCACTAATGTAAGTGAGTTAGCATCATGAACCTCAGCTTTACAGATGCCACAACTCCCGTGTAGGCAGTATGTGTTGTACTGTAATACGTGGAGTGACACATGGTCACATTGTAAATGCAACAACAGCAGGGAACAGTGTCGCAATTTGGGGTGCTGTGTTTATTTATTTTGGTGCAGCCGGTGATAATTTTGGACAGGGGTTCTACTAGAGCGAAGAGCACCATTACAGCCAATACGGTATCATCAAAGAAAAACTGATTTACTGTATTGAGTGTAGAATTTGGGAGTCTTCGTACATTTGGATGGAATATCAGAGTAATTATGCAGTGGAGTAGAAAGTGTATTCAATAGGAAATAGATGGAGCTAATCTGCTTCTCGGTGTTAAACCTTTAATTCAATCGTTAAAGGGGAAGTTTAGCAGATAAGAGGCTTTTCCAATAAAGAGCTGATGGACACCTACACCGTTGAGAAACTGCAGAAGGCAGCTGCAACTTGATATTAAATCAGAGCTCCAGACTGCCCCTATATCCAAACTCTTGAAACAGGCCTGGACAAAAATTATCACTTAATATTTTGTTGTACAACCTTTTGAGGCAATTACCCAAGCAAGTAAAGTGGCCCACTTTTCATGAGCAAGCTGCTCCACTCTCAGGTTTGAAGGGCGTTTTCACCAGACGGCATGTTTCTCTGCCTCTTCCGCAGATTTTCAATTGGATTTAGATCTGATGTAGCTCTGTTTTTTTGGTCATTATCCTGTTGCCAGACTATTGACCTTCAACTTAGACTAAACTTTCATGACACGGAGCAGAACATCTCTCCATAGAACACCTTGAAAGTTTTAAGTTTTCATTATACCCTGCCCAGATTCAAGACACCCTGTGCCCAGTTGTAGCAAAGAAAACACAAGAGCCTCCTCCATGTTTCACTGTCGGGATAGTGTTCTTTTTGTGTGCATGCTTTATTTTTTTTCATCTGTGAACATGAGCTGAGGTGCAAGAAGACACAGCGTGCTTTATCTTAGCACAACAATACATTAATATCAGAGAGCATCTGGTTGTGTGAGAGCAACAAGGTTTTAATTAAAACGCCACAATACATACATTTCATAAGGGCAAGGAAATATTCTTCTTCCAAGTATAAAGGGATGAATACACATGGCGCTTCAATGTAATGACTTCAAATGGACACTAGATGGCAGTGTTGTGCTGTTGTTTGTTTTGGTTTTTTTTTTTTAATGCTCCACCTAGCTGCACCTCATCTGTGGAGCATCTTGTTGGTGGTAAAACCATACTCTTATGTGTGTATTTAGTAACACTGTAAATGCACTTCACTCACATACAGTGGCACCCAAATTTCGTTGTATTCTATCCAATGACAATAAAGGCGATTCTGATTCTGATTCTGATACAGTCATGTTAGATAATACATCAATGAGCACTGCCTCTTCATGCGCCACATGTTGGATCAGGCTCCGCAGTGGGTGTTGACCCAGGGTGAGCGGGTGTCCTGGATTGTAGTTGGTGATGGGAGTGCAGCGTGCACAACACCGCTCATAACTATGCTGAGCCTCAGTGACACCAGCAGCAGCACCACTGCAGCACTGAGCACAGGTGAGTGAGGGCGAGACATATTTATTATTAACCGCTGGTGCTGCAGGAGGTTATTTCTTGAAACACTTTTTTTGCCCCAAAGGCGGATGCAAGATTTTATTTTGTTTTATTTTTTGTCATTTTGGGTTAGTACATTTGTATGCAAACGTTTTTAGGCGGGGTTCGGTGCTATCCTGTGTGGTGCTTTTCTGTGCAGTTTGTTTTCTTCTATATTCCTAAATCATGCATGTTAGCTTAATTGAAGACACTTGTCGAAATTGTCCAATCAGTACAGTCCTCTCCAAATGGCGATCAGTACAGGGTGTACCCCACCTTTTGCTCATAGTCAGCTGGGATGGGCTCCAAGCTCACCTGCAACCCTACTCAGCGCTATAGAAAATGGATGGTTGGTAGTTTTTGCAATGGAGTGATTGATATATGTCTGCAAAACTGCTCGAAGCACATCCTCATATCGACTGAATTTCGAGCTTGCATTGTTTGTTTCCAATTATAGGACATGGCAATCACAAAGAAGACAGCCCCTTTCTCAACAGTCCTGACGAGAAGAATAAGAATGACTTCTACGATCGGAACCTGGCCTTGTTCGAGGTATTTTGATCTTTGGTTGTCAAATTCAAATCACGACCTCATCTTTTATTTATTTATTTATTTATTTCATGATTTATTTATTTTTTCCCCATTCTTCTCCTCTTTCTGCATTCAGGAAGAGCTGGACATCCGACCCAAGGTGTCATCTCTGCTCAGTCGTTTGGTCAGCTACACAAACATCACCCAGGGAGCGAAGGAGCATGAGGAGGAGGAGAGCGCGGGGGCCTCGCAAAGAAAGACTCCTAAGGTCAGTGCCTTTGTAAAATTATCCTCCACCAACAACGCTTTCCCTTCCAAGTTTTGTATGAAAACTTGCTGACAGATTGGTCGACAAGAGATATGTGTACCTCTTTTCTATGTTGTAAAAAGCACAATTTCCACCACTGTAGTACGTCAACCCTAAGAGTTCTGTAATTTGGGGTTCAAATCTCGGCGCTGGTGCGGAGTTTGCTTTTTCTCCCTCTCACTCCCTTCCGCATTACAATATCATGAGCGTTAGCTTCATTGAATCCTCTAAATTCTCCATAACTGTGAATATGAATGATTGTATGTCTGGATGTGATTGGCTGGCAACTAGTCAAGCATGTAGCGGGCCTCTCGCTTGTAAGTCAGCTGGGATTGGCTGCCGCTCACCTGTGATCCTAATGTGTTCAAGCAATGTAGAAAATTGGACATGTGGGTGGATAGGGTCCACTGTTCATGCAAGAGCTGAAACATTCTGCACTGACCTTTAAAGAGTACAACCATCAATAATGATCATCAATACTGCTGTTTCCTGAATTGCTCAATAATCACCCACCGCTCTCTCTTTCTCTCCCTCTTTTTGCCTCCCCAGACCCCCAACATGGGTACTCTGATGGGCGTCTATTTGCCCTGCCTACAGAACATTTTCGGGGTCATCCTTTTCCTGCGGCTGACGTGGATCGTTGGGGTGGCCGGCATCATGCAGTCCCTGCTGATTGTTATCATGTGCTGCACATGTGTAAGTGCGCACACGCAGACACGCACCAACTAGGCTAATATGCCGGGTGGATTTCACCACCAATGTGGGTCATGAGCCCATGCCTACTGCGTACCGGTCAATAAGATGCACTCACACGCCACATTTGGTATATCCCGCCCAATACAATAGCTGGATTAAAAAGTCCGCCGTGACAAAGAAACTACAGACACTGCCACAGAGGTCAACAATATGTTTTCTGTTGTAGTTAATAGGTGGCCCACTTTGACTTTTCTGCAGAGCGCGTCTCGATTACCTCCCACCGCTTTACATAATCAGTGTTGTACTCGTATGTATTTTCAGGGCACGGCATTAATATATTGATTATTTCAGGAGAGATTATGCTCAGTCAGTTGGAAGCCGATGTACCCGAGCGTCACTTTGATGGGTGGATGTTAGCGTGCCACACAGATGTTCCGGCGCGACATCCGCGCCAATCGTTTTTTTTTTTAACTGCACTGTGCCTTTCCCTTTTGCAGACCATGCTCACGGCCATATCAATGAGTGCCATTGCAACAAATGGTGTTGTTCCAGGTAATGTTTGAATCACCGTGGCCATAAATTGAGTGATAGTCTTGCATTAAAAAAACCAAAAAAAACAAACAAACATAAAACTGCATTTTGGAGGATCTGGTTTGTAAGAGTGTGTTTCCTTTTTCTAGCCGGTGGGGCCTACTTCATGATCTCGCGCTCTCTGGGTCCAGAATTTGGAGGAGCCGTCGGCCTGTGCTTCTATCTTGGCACTACCTTTGCTTCCGCCATGTACATCCTCGGAGCCATTGAAATATTCTTGGTCAGTTTTTAGCACAGGAACCATATTTAGTTACGTCAGATAGGGTTGAAGATGCCATCATTTCTCTCTGTGAAGAAGAAGAACCACGTAATGTATTTGCTCAAATTATAGCCGTGGCTCTGATAGACAACAAAAGAAGAATCCCAAGTGACTGAAATTACTGATACCTTTACCATGACACATGAAGTGCGTGGTTAAATGTGCTCAAATATTGACTTTTTCTTGAAAAGTTGAATATTACCTCAATATTTAATGACGAGAAAATGAATCTCCAATCAATTTAACAGTAGAGTGCGCCAAAAATGATCTAGTATTTCAGTGAGTGCCATGTAAGGGAGAAAATGTCATATATTTCTGTATTTCTTTTCTTAGCAATATCTGGTACCTCAAGCCGCCATCTTTCATGCTGCAGACCACCACGGCACTGACAGCGCGATGCTGAACAACATGCGCGTCTACGGCACCATCTGCCTCAGTCTCATGGCCGTGGTGGTTTTCGTGGGTGTCAAATATGTCAACAAGTTGGCCTCCCTCTTCCTCGCCTGCGTCATCATCTCAATCGTCTCTATCTACGCCGGCGCGATCAAGTCTGTCTCTCATCCACCAGAGTTCCCGTAAGTTTTTTTGTGTGGAACAGTTGCTGTGGTTGTAGTGTATCCTACTCAGAGATGTTTGAAATATTTTGGTGAGTTTATTTCACTGTTTTCTGTTCTCGTTTTAGGATCTGCATGCTTGGCAACAGGACCTTGGTCAGAGATCGTTTTGATGTGTGTGCAAAGACCGTCACCATTGGGAACACGACGGCACCCAGTCAACTGTGGGACCTGTTTTGCCTTCCGGGGAACTTGAGCAGTGCGCAGTGCGATGACTACTTCCTGCAGAATAACGTCACGGAAATCCAGGGCATTCCCGGACTAGCTAGTGGAATATTTAGAGGTATAGATGAGAGTTATTGAAGTGGAGTGTGCAAATGTAAAAAGAAGTTAAGCACTCTTCATTGTAAAATGTTTACACAATCAACTTTAATAACACGTGAACATGTCTTCGGTTTCTGTCAGACAATTTATGGGGCGACTACATGCACAAAGGGGAGATCTTGGAGAAGGATGGCCTCGCGTCAGTGGACTCCCACAGCACCATGGAGCACTTTGGCATGTACGTGTCCGCAGACATCGCCACGTCCTTCACGTTGCTGGTGGGCATTTTCTTCCCTTCGGCCACAGGCAAGTCTCCCCCTCGTAATTGTTAGTGGTCTGATGCAGTTACTTTGCAGGATCTTTGTGTTGAAGAGGAGACTGTAAGCTGTGCTATTTAGGATTGCTTGTGAATTCCATCGACTACAAAGACATTTAACATGAAACGTAACCATGATATTAACCTTATGTTTTGAAGGCATCATGGCCGGCTCCAACAGGTCTGGGGATCTCCGGGATGCTCAGAAGTCCATTCCCATTGGAACCATCTTAGCTATTACCACCACTACTCTTGTCTGTATCCTTATTTTGGGGACCATATTGAGTCAAATCTTTTGGTTGTAAACTCACCTTGTGTCATCTTAAATTCCTTGACTTTTTGTCTCAAGATTTAAGTTCTGTTATCCTGTTTGGGGCCTGTGTCGAAGGGGTGGTCCTAAGAGACAAGTAAGTCCAGCAGTTATTAATGTGACCGCACTCTCGTCTTTATTTAACTCATCCAGTGTGTATCTTCAGATTTGGCGATGCAGTTCGGAACAATTTGGTGGTGGGAACTCTTTCCTGGCCATCCCCTTGGGTCATTGTCATCGGTTCCTTCTTCTCTACGGTGGGAGCAGGTCTGCAGACGCTCACTGGAGCTCCGAGACTTCTTCAGGCCATCGCCAAGGACAATATCATCCCTTTCCTCAGAGTGCGACATTTCATGTTGTGGATTATACATATCAGAACAGAACGCAAAGCGATATAGCGATTTTTTTATTTTTTATTTTTATTTTTTTGCTTTGCTTTGCTGATTATTTTTTCTTGGTTGCAGGTGTTTGGTCATGGGAAGACCAACGGTGAGCCAACATGGGCCCTCTTGCTGACTGGCCTCATAGCTGAGCTTGGTATCCTGATCGCCTCATTGGATATGGTGGCTCCGATCCTTTCCATGTAAGCTGACTTGTAGATGTATGCTGGTGTAGATCCAATTAATAAACCCAAATAGATCCGATAAAAAAAGCATGTTTAAAAATCTGACCATAAAAAGGTAAATGCACTGGTACACATGCTGGTCGATACTACTCCGCTCCATTCCAATAATGTTGGGTGCCAACTGGCACACGGCAAGATTTGAGAACTATCACACCTGTTGCTGGGTCTGGTGGGTCACTGCCTTATTTAGCCCCGATTACAGCAGACTGTATCAGTAATAAGTGCAGTGTGAGACCATTGAAAACTAACAGTGTAAGTTTTATTGCTGTAGAAGTGGGCATCATTTTTTCTATGCGGTTCTTTTGTTGGATTGTAATATTTTGGCCATTTACTGGTTATACTATTCAGACATTTTTGTATTTCCCCCCTCACAGGTTTTTCCTGATGTGCTATCTCTTTGTTAACCTGGCCTGTGCCGTGCAAACACTTTTGCGCACCCCCAACTGGAGGCCGAGGTTCAGATATTACCACTGGTGAGGACAACCTAAATTTGCTTCATTTCACCTGGGGAAAAAATATATATATTTGGGTTCCGCGAGAAAGTCGAACACTGTATCTGAAGATTTGAGCATGATTTTGGCCAAGTACAAGTTGCAATGATTTCTTCACTATGTTCCGCAAAGGACTCTATCCTTCCTTGGAATGAGCATGTGTTTGGCCCTGATGTTCATCTCCTCCTGGTATTACGCTATTGTGGCCATGGGCATTGCTGGGATGATCTACAAGTACATCGAGTACCAGGGGTATGTCCATAGCTTGAATGCTGTTTGACTCTTATGTCCTCTTTAGTCTTACCGCATCTTGTCTTTTTCCACTCGTCCAAACACAAACAGAGCGGAAAAGGAGTGGGGAGACGGCATCAGAGGTCTATCGCTTAGTGCCGCACGCTATGCCCTGTTGAGGCTAGAAGTCGGTCCTCCGCACACTAAAAACTGGAGGTAGAGCTATGCTGAGGCCTTCCTTCAAATTTAGGTCAGACCAAATCATCTTGAAAGTAATGATATCCCTGTTGACTGGCCCAACAGACCACAGCTGCTGGTTCTGTCAAAGCTGGATGAGGACCTCCACATCAAATATCCCCGACTGCTGACCTTTGCCTCACAGCTGAAGGCGGGGAAGGGTCTTACCATCGTGGGATCTGTGATCCAGGGAAATTTCCTGGAAAGTTACGGGGAACTGCAAGCAGCAGAGCAGGTAAAATGGAAGACAGTTCTCGACAGTCCTGCGTTGTGTGCGATCAGAACTTTGATCGTGCTTAATTAGCGGAGGTGATAAGTGAGGCATTACCTGATCAAGATGGATTGGTTTATCCCACAGACCATCAAGAACATGATGGACATCGAGAGGGTCAAGGGTTTCTGTCAGGTGGTGGTGGCGACTAAGGTGCGGGAGGGCATCATCCACCTGATCCAGTCCTGCGGTCTCGGGGGAATGAAGCACAACACGGTGATGATGGGATGGCCTTATGGCTGGAGGCAAAGCGAGGACCCTCGGGCGTGGAAGACTTTTATCAGTAAGCTTTTGCAACTCAGCTGCATAAACGTATCCCCTGGTTTGCCTGGTAGAATGCAAGTACGGTTCTGTGTTTTGTGTATATCTGAATTAAAACCACACAGGCAAATTAAAATTGAGAAATAGAAAAATCGCTTGCTCAAATTAGAACAGACAGTGCGAAAAGATAATTTATATGACAAATGCTTTAAAAGGCTCCAATCATAGTTATGGGGAAATAAGCATCGTGTTTAACCTGGATTCAAAAGCCTTTCCAGGGCAATTCTATGGCGATTTTCAAATATTTTTCCTCCAATATCCTCTTTAGAGCTCCGTTCCATTTTTCCTGATTTATTTTAAACCTCAAAGTATTGTCATTTACCGCCTCGACATAAATCGTTTTGATTTTCAACGATGACCCGGCTTACCTGCAGTTGAAATATAGTTTGCTAGTTTTATATATCCACTCTGCTTTCTTCTCATTGTAACTTTTAAAGGCCTACACTTAACAATTGACTAATTAGTTGCTCTTGAATTGTGAACCATAAGTGAACAACCTGGTATCGTTGCCGCCTGACATATTTTATATAGGGACATCATGACTCCATGCATTCTCGTGTCCTGGCCCGCCACGATTCAATTAAGCCCTTAATGGCCTTCATGTTCTCATCTCTGCACAGACACAGTCCGTTGCACCACTGCGGCCCACCTGGCTCTAATGGTGCCCAAAAACGTGTCGTTCTACCCGAGCAACCACGAGCGCTTCACTGATGGCAGCATTGACGTGTGGTGGATCGTCCATGACGGGGGCATGCTCATGCTGCTGCCTTTCCTGCTCAAGCAACACAAAGTGCTACAACACAAATGATATCGATAACGCCATTAGGATGAGAGTTTGGTTCGTAAGCTCACGCTTTGTTTTTTTTCTTAGGTGTGGAGAAAATGCAGAATGCGTATCTTCACCGTAGCCCAGATGGATGACAACAGCATCCAGATGAAGAAGGATCTCGCCACATTCCTCTACCAGCTGAGGATAGAGGCTGAAGTGGAAGTGGTGGAGATGGTAAGAGATGATCTCTTGCAGCGAGACGTAACGTGTTAATGAACAACACAATAACTTCATAGTTGTTTATAAAAGATGGATTTGATTGATACAGTTTTGATTTCTTTTTTGTGTACACTTGTATCAGTTTTATTTATGCTGTAATGCACATTACGAAGAGGACGAGCAAAGTGGTTGGTTGATGAGTTTGTGGGGTGGGTATGGAGGTACGAAGGCGGTTGGTTAGTTAGTTGAGTGTCAGTCAGTGGCTGTTTTTTGGGGGGGCTGGTGGGGGGGTCAATTAAGTCGGTTGGTCAGTCGGTTGGGTTGGTAGGTGTGTGTTATGATAGTTAAGTAGGTGACTGGCTGGTTAGTTGCAGCTGGTTAGAAGATCAGTCTGTTTGTTAGTTTGAGGGATGAGTGGTTTGGTTAGTTGGGTTGGTTGGTAGGTGGGTCGGGCATTAAGCAAGTAAGGCAGCTGGTTAGTCGGTGCGTCAGTCAGCACGTCAGATCAATGTTATGTCAGTCGATAGTTAGGGTGGTTGGTTATGTCGGCATGGACCAGTTTTTCCAGAAATGCCAATGCATACGTACATTTTTATTTTTTTGTACAGCTGACATAACGTCAGGTGCACCTGAACAATCGAGATGATAATGATTAATTTTGATTGATGCTATTGATTAAGAATGTATTCATGCGTTTCAGCATGACAGCGACATCTCGGCATACACGTACGAGCGCACGCTGATGATGGAGCAGAGATCTCAGATGCTGAGGCAGATGAGGCTGTCCAGTGCGGAGAGGAAGAGAGAGGTAACGCGCGCGCACACACACACACACACACACACACACACACACACACACACACACGTGTCATCA